TTTATTTTAACGCCAGTGGGAGGAGTGGACTGGAATTTTTCTGGTCTGTAGACTTGAGCCATATTGACCTCTTCTCATTCCATGTTTTAGATTTTCTTAAAGATGAATGTACTTTAAACCACAATTAACGTAGAATGTATTCTGGAAAGTTTTTTTATTTCCCTTCCCCCCCCACTTCCCCTCCCGCAGGCATTCTGTGGTATCACAAAGAGGTGTAAGTAATGACGTTATGTCTATTCAATCTGACTCCTTGAAGTTGTTCAGAGCACTTCTTCATGAAGACATGAAGAAATTATCAGTATCTTACTAACAGCCAAGCCGAAGTTTACTTACAATGTTGTTTGTACTCCTCCAACTAACTATCCTGTGTCAGTAAGTGAGGCTTAACTGGGTAACAAACAGAAGCCAATAGTTTGAACTGTAGAATGAAACAAACTAGCCTCTTGCAAACCCACCACCTTGTAATAACCTTAGGGAAGTTTATTGAGGGGCGTAGCAAGTAGTTTGACAACGCCCAACATCCCATTCCAAAGACATTGTATAATTTCGGAGGGTCGGGCTGGCAAGGGATAATGTGGAGGCAGTGAGGTTTAACTTTTGTACGATGTCATCTTTCAGACCTGCCTGTGTTTGATAAAGGCCTTTTCACTTTGGTTTAGCTGTCACTTTCTTGCTGAATATGAGGATAGGTGACTAGGTGTCATCCTGGCTCAGTTGGTAGCACTCATCTCTTGAGTCAGAAGTTTGTGAGTTCAAGCCCCACATTGAGACTTTAATTTAAGTCTAGGATGCCTCTTATGTGCAGTTCTGGGGCAGTCTTGCATTGTCAGAGGTGCCATCTTTCGGGTGAGATGTTAACAACAACAACTTACATTAATATTGCGCCCCTCAGGCAGGGTAGTGCCCAGAGCACTTTTGTTAAACCAATGTCTCGTCTGCTGTTAGAGATTCCATGGCACTATTTGAAAAGAGAAGGGACTTTCTCCTGGTGTCCTGGCAAACAATCTCCCAGATTAAGTTGGTCATTTGTTTCATTGCTGTTTGTGGGACATTGCTGTGTGTAGGTTAGCTCCATGTTTGCCTACTAAGTACACAGTCACTACACTTTACCATAAATCCCCTAAAGCGCTTTGAGATATTTCCTCAATGTGTTTAACTGCTAGAACAAGTGAAAGAATTACTATAATCTGGAATTTGCATGCTGCGAGTGGCTGAAAATTAGAGCCATTTTATGGTATATTTGTAGGGTTCAGATGATACACATCCAACTTGTGGCTCCTTGCAAGTTATCCATTTCCTGTTTCGTACTGTGTTGAGGTTTACGAGTGACTGTTTCTGCAGAATTGTTGCTGGGTTTAAAAAACACTTTTTAAACTGTACTAAAGAATTTTTCAAAAGGATAAATCCATTTTTTTTCAAAAATCTTGGCCGTCTTTCCCCTTCAGGATCTGAAACTGAAACGAGGAAGACTTGTGAATGCATCGAGTCAAACGAACTGATGGGGGATGAAGCACTTGCCCAGTTTAGATGCATTAACCAGTACCAGGTTGGATATAAGCTCTTGAGGTCATCTACCTGGGTCAGTGTTGATATGGAGTAAATTGCCCCTCTAACCAACCGAATGCTAACCAACCGACGGCGCAGTGTGATATTTGCCGTTTCCCACACCAGCCAGCCATATGGTCTCCTTTATAAGATTGTAGTTTAGTGCTGTGGTTCCAGTCAAAGAGAATGTGTGTTGAAGTGGTTGAAGCTTTACACTCAGGACCCCTCATAATGAGTGGTAGGAAGAGGAGACTCGCTACCTACTATTTTGGGCTGGAATCACACTCGCACTCAAAATGCACTAATTATTGCATCATTCAGCAGGATTTTTCTGTACAGTAGAACCTCACTAATCGGGTCACTCAAGTGATTGGGCAAAAGTGACCTACTTAGTGAGGTGACCCGATTACTGAAACAGATTGGGTGATTCAGGTCACTGAAGCAATGTTTAGGGCATTGGTAAGGATGTTGAACACTCAACGAGCATACAATCTCTTTAAAATAAGGCTTTGTCACATTTAAAGCAGATCTTAGGTTTCATTATTTAAAGTTCACATGAGAAGTTAAAATCATACAATGTTCATTTCTTGAAGAAAGAGTCCAGTGTTGTTTTCCTGGCTGCTGATTTAACCTGCACTGCCTTGGCCTACAGCTGACCCAAACTCTGCCACACCTCGAGTCCATGATCAAGGAAAAGTCCTTCACTTGTGCCAACAAACCCAGTGCATCAGCATAAGTGAGAGGGGTCTCTGATGTTGTCAGTTGCTCTTCCTGTGCTTTCTCCTTTGTGTCCTGTTCCTCAGTGTCCGTGGTAGAAACTCCTCCGTTAGATACTCCTCCCATCCCTTATTTAAGTCCTCAGTGGAGGCCACATCACTGTTGATGGCTGCATAATACTCGGCACCGAGGATAGGGGTGTCCAGTGACAGGTACTGACTGGCCTGAGACAACAACTGGTCAAGTGTCACATCATCAGGGTCCTCTTCCACAGGCTCATCCACACTAAAGCCAGCCTTCGCAAAGCACTTATGCACTGTTGATCTACGCACCATGGTTGACTGCTGAATTAATCTAGGTGACTGCATGAAGAACATTGATGGATTTTGTGACTTGTGAAAGCCTGTGCATCTTTGGCCGTCTCTCCAAGAACCATGCGTAGAAGACTCCCTCCTGCAGTGCATCTTGACATCTGGGTGATGGCTGGTCAGGGGCTGGAGAACGGATGTCGTGTTAGCTGGGAAAAACACTAGGTCAGAGTAGAAATGACCAGAAACAGCAGCACATGCCTGCCCTGGGCCCACATCTTTCTATTGAAGGTCTGAAGCCACTTCTGTAAAAATAAATAAATGGCACTTGCTTTCATTCCTTTTTGTTGTTGTACCATGTGACGGGAAGCTGAGTCTTGATGTTCAAATTCCTAAAGGCATGGAGCTTGGCAGCCTTCCCTATTACCACTGTCCATATCAAAATCTTCCCTCCATGTTGACTGTCAAAGACATGGTGATGTGGTCTTTGGATTTACATTAGAATACATTATACATTACATTAGAATATACAGCACGAAACAGGCCGTTCGCCCCAACTGGTCTATGCCCGTGTTTATGCGCCACGTGAATCTCCTCCTGCCCTTCCTCAACTAAGCTTTCAAGCATAACTTTCTATTCCTTTCTCCCTCACGTACCTATTTAGCTTTCCCTTAAATACATCTATGCTATTTGCCTCAACAACTCCTTGAGGTAGCATGTTCCACATTCCCACTACTATTTGCGTAAAGAATTTTCTTCTAACTTCCCTATTTGATGTATTTGTGACTATTTTATATTGATGGCCCCATGTTGGTCTCCCCCACATGTGGAAACATCTTCCCTATGTCTACCCTATCAAAACCTTTCATCATTTTAAAGACCTCTATCAGGTCACCCCTTACCCCCTTTTCAAGAGAAAAGAGTCCGAGCGTGTTCAGCCTTTCCTGATAGATATAACCTCTCAGTTCTGGGATCATCCTTGCGAATCTCCTTTGCTCCCTGTCTGGTGCCTCTACATCCCTTCTATAATGTGGGGACCAGAACTGCACACAGTATTCTAAGTGTGGTCTAACCAAGGTTCTGTAGAAGTTTACCATAACTTCCCTGCTTTTCATTTCTATCCCTCTAGTAATGGACCCCAATGCCTGGTTTTCCTTTTTTACGGCCTTATTAACCTGCGCTGCTACTTTTAGTGAATTGTGTATGTGTACCCCTAGATCCCTTTGCTCCTCTACCCCATTTAGGTTTTTATTTTCCAGTATGTATGTGACGTCCTTATTCCTTATTCTTTCTACCAGTGCAGCCATCACCACAAACTGAAAGGCTCCCGTCAGGGAGAGTCCTGAAAACAACCAGATTCATCCATATTAAAGATGTCCTGGGTGCACAGCCAGCTGTAATTTCAGGGAGTTTCTCTTTCCAGTTGTCAACAATAGCAGGCTCAAGGTCACCCTTTTCACCAAACACAATTGCAGATCCAATTTGTGTCTGGACTTGAAACAGCAAAGCCAGCGATTTGATGCCTTGAAGTCAGTCTGGCCAAGTGATGCTGCAAGGCTGAAAGCTTTCTGCTCTATCATGGCGTCAGACACAGTCATGTTGAGACCACGGGTGCACTGGAACCACTCCCATTTCAATTTATCAATGCCCTCATACTGAGAGTTCAAACACACATATTTTCTATCAGGCTGTTGATTTTCTTCAAAAGCTGTCATGTATTCAGCCTTCCTTTTGGGAATGCATCCAACTTGTGTTCTGCCAAGCTGCTTAGATCACAGCTGACTATAATTACGACTTGCCCTCACTGTTTTTGATTAAGTCCGTTCTCTCATGTAAGGGCAACTTCTTCTGTGGTGGCATGTTTACAGCACTTACCTAGAATTGGCCGCAGGAGCTCAGGTTAGGCCGCGGACACCAGGCGAAGTCGATTTCCCTCTCACACCACATCCGTGATCCCAACGCTCCCCGCACCATGCATGCGTGACCAGAGCCCCCTCCGCCCACAGTAGCAGCGTCGAGGAAACAGCGCGCGTTGTATTGTTGGAGTCGCCGGCTTCAAATGAGATATAAATACGAGGTCCGGTCTGCTTGTTCCAGCTGGCTGTTAAAGATCGCACTCCTCAAAAGAGAAGGGACTTTCTGCCAGTGGTGAACAGTCCTCCAATCAAACTGGTCATTCACTTCATGGCTTGTTCGTGGGACATTGCTGTATGCAAATTGCCTCATTCGCTAAAAATAATCATTGCACTTGGCAGTAAAAGTTTTGAGTTCTTTCACGACTTGATAATGTGCTGCATCAAATGCATGGATGATTTATTATTATTGTTGGAATGAATTATTTTTGATATTTTATCAGTATATTTTATCAGCACAGCTCACTCTGTACATGATCTGATTTATAAAGCACCATTTCCTGTTGATTGCATCCAGGCACGAAGGAAAAAGCGACAGAGTGACTACTGGGGTCCCTGGGGAGCCTGGGGAGAATGCAGTAGGACCTGTGGCATTGGGGTGAGCTTCCATGAACGCAGGTGTTTTTCCTACAGGTACGTAAAGTCATTGTGGTTTTTTATACTAAGCGATGAATCATAGACTCTTATAGCACAGAAGGAGGCCATTCAGCCCATCGTTCCTGTGCCGGCAGTTTGGAAGAGCTATCCAACAAGGCCCATCCTCCCCCCCACCCTTACCTCAAAGTACCTATCCATACCTTTTGAAAGCTACTATCAAATCTGCTTCCACCACCCATTCAGGCTGTGCATTCTAGATCATAACAATTCGCTGTGAGGATGGACCTTTGAGGCTATTGTAAGTAGATGAACGGAATGGCATTTAAAGAGGTGGAACATTTCATGTGATTATGTAGAATATGTGGTGCTGTAATTTGTATCAGCTGGAAGCTGAACAGTGTGTGCTGATGTCCCTTGAGGTATAGTTCTCTGTAAAGGTAATGATTAACCCAACTTTGGTGCAGCAACAGTAAACGGTTGATTGTTACTTTAGTGAGTTTTTTTTTCAGCTTGTTATAATTAGTAACTATAATAGGGAATTGTGAGTGAAGAGGTCCCCACATATGTATCCGCAAGTACTGCACACTGGACGTTGGACAGGAAGTTGGATTCTGATCCCAAAGCTCTTGACCTTGTGAATCTGGGGAATTTTGTACTCTAAACATTATACTGTTTGTTTTTTGGGGGAAATGTGCATCATTTCTTTCGGTGGTTTCAGCAGGAGTTGAGGACCGTCGCTGCTGGTTGGGTGGTGTCATTAGAATGGATGGGTGTGTGGTGGTGATCCTGGCAGCTCCATCAGCCCCGAGGGAGGGAAAATCGTATCGGGGGGATACGCTGGGGGTCAACCAAGAGCCAAACTGTTCTCATACACTTCGAGCTCTCGACAATCGTCAGGGGAGATGTGGGTCATACAAGCCATTAATACATGTGGCATTTTCTTTCAATAAAGAATCTGATGGTGCATGAGTCTACTAAAGTGAAGTGTATTTGAGTTCAACCATGATTTTAATGCAATGTTGACCAAATGTTGCACTGTTGAAAACTCCATAAAGGGTGAGCGGCTGTTCTGGGACCATGATAGCATAGGTCAACGACGACAACAACAACTGCTACTATTTATAATAGCGACCTTCACGCCAGGCGGCTTCTCGGAGCCCTTGAATGAGATCCTGCGGTAATGAGACTGGATCATCTCTACATGTTGGGTGTTTATGGTATGTGCTTCAGAGAGGCTGGTGAGGCGAGGCAAGGGGCTGATTGTCATAATTATTTTGGCTGATTTTACCTACATAGTGCAGACATGGTGAAGCTGTCTCTCACCACACTAACAAATCACTTACAAATGGGGTGAAAACGAACCCCACTTCTTTACCTCTCCATTTATTCTTTTGGTAATTATTCCTTTCGTATGTTCCTCCCTCTCTCTGCCCATGACCTTCACCAATGAAATAGGACATTTGGCCCAACTAGTCCGTGCCATATTCACACACTATGTAGGCTTCCTTCTTCTTCTCCTTTACCCCTCTATTTCCTTCTCCCTCATGGATGCATCAAATTACCTCTTAATAAGTCAATGTTTTTTGTTTCAACCACAGCTTTCGACAGTAAACTCTACATTCTTGTCACCCTCCAAATTACCTTCTAAACTCTATTAGACCTGCTGCTGACTATCTTCTATTTATGTCCTCTTGAGAAGTCCTCCCGCTCTATAATAATGTAATTTTGTTGTTTTGTTTTGGAAACAGCCTAACAGCATCCATCTTATCAAACCCTTTCATAATGGTGAACATAATTTTATAATATCGATTCCCTTCTCAAATGTCAACACTCTTAGAGAGAAAAGCAAAAGCCAAATCTAGACAATAAATTGCCTTTTCTTAATTAACTCTCTGCCTAATGCTCCTTTGAGTAGAATTCTGGCAGCTTTCCATCTCCTTTCTCAGCATGAGAGAGTGTATAATGTGAGGTTGAATGGAGGGGAAGGGGGAGAATAATAGCCAGAGTAAACAAGATGACCTATACCTGTAAATAAGGCTTGTGTGTGTGTGTGGGGGGGAGGGGGGGCGGGGAGGAAGGAGATAATTCTGGTTTCTGCTCACTAAATTAATTTTTTTAAAAACAAATTGGGTGGGACTCATTTTAGTGTTGAACGTACAAGAGGAATGCAGTGCACTGGGCACATTTCCAAAGCTATTTAGGTTTGGAGCCAAGTCACTGCTGTACACAGCTGGAACAAAATAATTCTCAACCATGTGAAGAGAAGTCATGGCCACCAAATAGTCTACTCATTGCAATTACTTGGCTGGTCTCCTCCTGTAGTAGTAGTATTAGTAATAATAATAATCCTTGCATTTAATATAACGCCTTATCATGTCATTGAGACATCTCAAAACAATTTACAGAATATACTGTAAAGTGGGTCGACTAGGTATTTCAAGTCTCGTCTTCAAATCCCTTCCCTCTCTGTAACCTCCCTACATCTCCGGCCTCCTCACTTCCCAAACCATCACCCGGTGCCTCCGCTCGACTACACCAGTGTCCTGTCGTCCCTCGCACCCTCCGCCCCACCATTGGAGGTCACACTTTCTGCCACTTGGCCCCAAAACACTGGAACACTCTCCCTCAATCCCTCCACCTTGCCCCTCTCTCTCCTTTTTCAAGTCCCACCTAATAATAATAATATAATAATCCTTGCATTTGATACAGAGCTTTTCACGTCTTCTCGACGTCTCAAAGCGCTTCACAGAATAGACTGTAAAGTGAATTGATCGTATATTCGTGGGCGAAGGATATTTGTGGGAAAACCTTCCTGGCCGAGGGCGCTCTATAAGTGCAAGTTGTTGTTGTATTTCTGTGTATTGCAACAGGTAACTACGTGGCTCAAGTAATCAAATGACCTGCATTGTCGAAGGAGATTGTCGTAGAGAATGGTAATTAATCTTGTGGTGCTTCACTCAAGACACTGCTTGTGTGTACTGAGCGTGTACAGTGTATTCTTTATACAGTGCTGTGCATGTTGCGACTTGGAATTGATGTTGTATCATGTATTGAGGTTGTTGGGTGTGCGAGGAAGAAATTAGAGATTTAAAAGTGTTTCTGGGTTTGGGAGTATAATGCAGATGGTTGGAAGATTCTTTGTTCAGCGTCTTTCATGTTAACGTTAATAGTAACCCCTGCATTTGCCTTTCGTGACACAGGGAGGCCTCAAAGGGCTTTTCAGGATATACTGTAAAGTGTTGTGACTGTATTTTGTAGGTAAATATTCACCTGAGAGAGGACCTCAGTTTAATATCTCATCCTACAGTGAAGTGCTCCCACAACTGGAGTGTCATTTTAGCAAATGAGCTCAAAGGCCCCAAAGTGGGGCTTGAAACTTTAACCTTCTGACTCAGAGGTGCAACTGCTGTTAGCTGAGTCAAGCTAACTCCTCTTAAGTTGAAATAAAGATGTGGTCACAAGCATAAGATTTAAGTGCACACCAACTTGCCATAATGTTAATTGGTTATTGTTACCAAGGTCTTTCTTTTTTGCGGTGCATTTATCCACTGAGCAACAGAGCTACACAGACCACGATGTTCCAAGGAGAACGTGTATTTGAGCAGGTGGAGACAGAAGCCCTGTGAAGTGCCTGAAGGGCAGCGATCCAGGAGACGTGGTTAGGTTATTTGACAACAAATAGTGATTACAGGGCGAAAGTAATATCCCAGCAAGCCTTAATAATGATTTGAGATTAAAAGCAATTGATTTAATCCACTGCAGTGGTAAATGTGTGGAACAGCAGTTCTTTTCTGGAATGGAGATTACTTTTATTCCTTTTCACCCATCTTCTCCACTGAATGAATAGTAATTACTATTACTCCTATAAAGTAAATATATATAAAGTTAATGTATTGTAAAGTGAATATATATATAATATATATATAGCTGTGTGTTTGAGGCAGTTCATATTTCAGCAATTGTGTATTTTTTGTTGAAGTACAGTGCAGTTTCAAGTGAAGCGCTTTTCTCTGTGGAGTCCCGAAGTATATTGGTTAGCACACTCACCTTGTAAGCGCGAGGACCCAGTTCGATTCCCGGGCAGAGTGAAACATTAGGCAAATTTCCTTACTGCACATGCCTTTGTTTATCTCGCAGTAATTAGGAACACAGTTGTTAGTTGATTGGCAAATCACTTTCCAGAGGTTATAATCCCTCCAAAATAATAAATGAATACGTCACTCAATCCACCACTGTTTGTGGGACATTGCTGTGCACAATTAGCTGCTGCGTTTCACCCAGAAAATACACAGTCAATCCACTTCGCAATATATTCTTTGAAGCACCTTGAGACATCTCAATGACGTGATAAGGAGCTATATCAAAAGCAGGGATTATTATTATCCATTTTATATCCTGAAATTATTGCTCAATTCCCAGGGAATTGCTTCCTTTGTGCTGTCTTGATGTAAACTCTGCTGTGCATTGTCTGGAAAATGTCACCCTGAGATTTCACTAATCTATAATTAAGATCATTAAACTGCCTGGTGACTCAGTAACCACAGAGATTACTGTCTGGAAGTTAAATGTTCTGCCCCTACTTTCCTCAGGGAGGGACCCTGTTAGCTGTAGAAGGAATCTGAATAACTTCAAAAAAGAACTGTGGAACAGTATTGTAGAGTACAGTAGGGTGGCCATATTTTGTAAACCAAATCCGAGAACACATATAAAAACAGTTGAGCTCAGAATTCTTGATGCTGACAGTACTGAAGAAGCTTGTTAGATTAATGGCTGTGTTTCTCTGATGAGTGTATCTGTTTTAGAAATTTATTGTTCTTACTCATTTTCTTGCTGAACTTGAAACCAAGCAAATTTGGCCCCAAGGACACATTACTTCATCCAGCAACTGTCCCCAGAAATCAGGGACTTTTGGTTGCCACAGTACAGAGGTATATGCCGATTAATCTGTACGTACTGGTGTCAGTCTGGTTCAGTTGATAGGACTCTAACTTACGAGTCAGGAGGTTGTGAATTTGAGTCCCACGTTGGGCCTTGAAATTCTTATACTGTAGGCTGATGCTTCAATTCAGTGCTGCATTGTTGGACATGCCATCCTTCAAATGAGATTTTAAACCCATTTACCATCTGCCTGTTCTGGTTGTTAAATAATAAGAATAGTCCTTGCATTTGATATAGCGCCTTATCATATCATCGACACGTCTCAAAACACTTCAGAGAATATACTGTAAAGTGAATTGACTATACATTTTGTGGGCGAAATACAGCAGCCAATTGCACACAGCAGAGTGCTGCGGCATTTGACCACAAAATCCACAATCTCTGCACTTCACAATATATCCTGTGAAGTGCTTTGAGACATTCTCACAATTTAAAAGGCACTATATCAAATGCAAATATTTGATATAGTACTTGGTATTCCTGTGGGTCATCTTAATAATCCTGCTTTTGATATAGTGCCTTATCACGCCATTCAAATGCCTCAAAGCGCTTCATAGGATAAACTCTAAAGTGGATTGACTGTATTTTATGGGCGAGACACAGCAGCCAGTTTGCGCACAGGTGTGAATGACCAACTTTATTTGAAGGATTGTCAGCCATGGTTGCTATTTTTTTTTGGTCAGCCAGGTGTCTTGATACATGCGGAAGGAAACCCATCACCATGCTTAATAGAATCCAAACCAAGCTGAGATTTCCATGCATCCCACAAAATACAGTCAATTCACTTTATAGTATATTTTGTGAAGCGCTTTGAGAAGATATGAAATGGTGCTATATTAAATGCAAGGATTATTATTATTACACATGGAAATTTGAGATAGATTGTCGGACTGGAATGCGCTCTCTCTCCCTGGGGGGGACACATCCTGCTTACCAAATTCCGGAAAGTATTAGGCGCAGGTTGGCATGAGCCAAGGCTTGGGGGACCCAGCGTCTGCTGGATTCTAACCAGCTAAAAACCCATTGATATTGCTGTCTGCCAAGCTTTCGGCCAGGACACTAGGAGAAACTCCAATGGGTTACAGTAACCCATTTACCCCCAAGAGTTACCATTTGTGATTCAGTCGCTGGTAAACAAGATTAAACCCAACAAGGTAGGATTTAATCCGTTTTGAATGTTTTGTTTATTTACAGGAGAGACGGCGGTAGCAACTGCATCGGCCCATCCAGAAATTACCGCTCCTGCAACATTCAGGTACAGTGAAACACTCGCTGCCTAATTAGGGTTGAAGCTTAAGGTTTTCTTGAGTCACCTGAGTGGGGCATGGAAACCCGTCGCCGCGCTTAACGAATGCACACCAGACAGTTCCGTGCATGCGATCTACACATGGAGATTCCTGCGTCTGGAATGGAACGCGCTCTCTCCCTGCAGGGACGCACTCTGTTTGCTTAATTCTGGAGAGTTCGAGGCACGGGTTGGTAAGAGCCAAGGCTTGGAGACTGCAGAGCATGTGTTGGGAGTTTAAACTGGCTAAAACCACATAAGCTTGTTATTAAGAGTCTGGCAAGCTTCCTGTTGCTTGTCCAGCTAGGTTCACCCAACTTATTACAGCTTTGGCTTGCAGGATTAATGGGAGCTGAGTGGGAAGAATTAGATTCTCCCACTTCCCACACAGATTCTGGGTAACACGCAAGTTATTTTCCCAAAGTCTTCCACTTTCAAATATTTTGGTATCTCGTTTCCATTCACTGATTCTCTTCTGCAAAGCACAACTCCACCTGGTGGCAAACCGTGACCAGTGTGGGAATTATTCCTGGTGCAATGTGACTTTTTCTCCTTCCCCTCCCAAATAGGGAATGAAAATGTGGTATTTACAGCAAGATGTTGCAAATAGGTTGCAGGTAAATGGACCTGCATCACTCCAACCTTCCTCCAGACTCAGTTCCAACACTGATTTGCATTTGAATTGGATGGTGTATATCCGGTTAACAGCAAGAATTGCTATTTTGCTGTGTTTTCAGCCCCACAAGTGATTCCGTTGAGCACCTCAATTTCATGTGTTTGTAGTTGATGATGGGTCAACACGTAAGTTGTGGTTTAATGGAGGCTGCTTTGTCCATGTAGAGCTTGTTTTTAGCACAATACTGTATTATTACACAATATACAGGATGGAAACCGGCCACTCAAACCAACTAGTGCTTGCCAGTGTTTGTACTTAACCTGAGTCTCAAACACCTTCCCTCCCCCCCCCCCCCCCCCCACTCCACTTTTTCCTTTCTCCCTTGTATGGGTCAAATTTTAAATATATTGATTTCTGTTTGAAGGTCCACCTCAAGACCTCCCTCTTTGACCACACGTTTGGTCATCCTTTCCCTACCCCCCTCAACTCTCACCCCTGGCTCAGATACAAATCCTGGACTGTCCAGCAACTTGCAACATCCTCCCAACATGAAGAGCGCTGTATAGATGTAATTTTGTTTTGGTTTCAGCCAAGGCTTCTGGCAGCGAGTTTCACATTTCACATCTGGATGAAGAAGTTTCTTCTAAACTTGTATCCTGAGTTCTGTACGTGTTAAATCTAAAAGTTGGTACCAATTGTAAGTCTCTTCCCTCCTATGAATCAGTAATTCCTAATATCCTGGTTTTGTCTGGACAGGATTGCCCGGAAGGATCTCGAGACTTCAGAGAAGAGCAGTGCTCTGAGTTTGATGGAAATGAATTCCAGGGAAAGAGATACAAATGGCTACCGTATTATGGAGGTAGAGGAAACACACAAAGCCTTTTGAGCACTAAGTTAATGTACACGTTAAAGCCGACAAAGAATATAGTATGTTTCTGGAAATTGAAAATGATGGATGAATTGTGTGATGCATATGGAAATCCATTGTATGTTTGCAAGTTTTGGCTCAATTAAGTGCAGTACGAACATAAAGCATTTTAGTCGGACACAATGGATAGAGTTAAGTGTACTCAACGGAAGTGGTTAACACCCACTTGTGTAGTATTGATTACCACCTGCTCCTCGAAATCCATTTGTCATGCATCATCCACATAAAAATTGATCATGAATAGCCCTCATCCGTGATTCGGTGCACAAATTTGGTTACAAAGCAAATGTGTGTATGGGAAGGGGGAGAAGTTGCTGGTTGATCGAACATTAAAAGTTTCATTGAGCAAACTGAGCATTAACCACTCTGATTTCATTACCCACAGCTCCGAACAAATGTGAACTGAATTGCATTCCCAAAGGGGAAAACTTTTACTATCGGCATCGAGAAGCAGTCAGAGATGGAACGCTGTGTGAACCTGGGAACAAGAACATTTGTATAGAAGGGGTTTGCAAGGTGAGTGGGATGGATGTTCATGCTAAATGACCGGAGGGTGAGCGCAGTATAAATTGGCCATCTGAATGCCTTCATCTCATCTTTAATCCGTTGGTTTTACCTCTCCCTGCAACTAGTCTGCTGAGGGTTGGGAAGGGAGTTAAAGCAAAGACATGATCTTGCCTGTGGATATCTTTTGCAGGGTAAGACTGCTTCACATCTGCTTGCATAACTGCTGAATATTTGCAGTAAATATACTTGCATAGTGGTGTCTAAACCCTTGGGATCCTAGTTTACTGGCATTCAGAAATCCTCTTAGATACCAATGAGAAGTGTTTGTGAATTAAGCGTCTCAACACCACTGCTTTTTCTCTATAATTAGTGTCCAATTATTGTTTCCGGAATTCATTTTCTTGTTCTCTTCCCCTTTGCACATGGCTCCTGGTTGTTTTCCAGTACTCTGCCAAAGTGGCCATTTATCTGTGAATTGCGTTAGGGGATCTTTAACGTCCATCTGGGCCTACAGATGTCTTTGTGTCTTATCCAATGGATGGTATCGCTGAAAATGCTGCCCCAGCACCATACTGGGGTTTTAGAGTAGACTGAGCTCAGGTTCCAATGTAGGGCTTGAACCTACAACCTTAAAATTGGTTACTCGCTCCATGGCTGTTTGTGACACATTGCTGTGCGCAACTGGCTGTGGCATTTTGTCCAAAAAATACGCAGTCAATCCATTTTACACTGTGTCCTGTGAAACACTTTGAGTCGTCTCAAAGTTATGAGAAGGCACTATGTCAAATGCAAAGATTATTATTACAACCTTCTGACCAAGAGGTGAGATTGCTACCAACTAAGCCAGGCTGTATACAAGCTTTATTGTTGTTTGTTGCTAATAACCAAAGAATTCCCATTAATGTTGAACTACAAGTTTCCTCGGTTTCTAATAATTTCTTTTGTTTCCTTTTTTTTCACGACAGCTTGTGGGCTGTGACAATACACTCGATTCATCGCAGACTGAAGACAAATGCCTGGAATGTGGAGGAGACGGGAGCAGCTGTTATGAAGTGAAAAGGATATTTAATGCGAATGACTTACCAATAGGTATAGTGCTAAGTACTTTTCTTTAAAATGCTCTGCTGATGACCTGAATTGTGTCATAATTGAGCTTTGTAGTGCAGTGATACTCGCAGAAGTCTTTATCTTTATAAATCATGTAATCGGCAGTCTTTACATGCACCCAAGTCCCATTCAGTTTCTTATCTAAGCCCCTTAGATTTCTTTGCAATAGTCGTATTAATCACCTTCTGACTCGTAATGCCTCTCCCCTACCCTCCGTTACTCCCATACTGTTTGCTTTGAATCGCGGGAAACCCATTGATGAATGCCAGTTACCGACCGGCTGCATTGAATCGCGGGAAACGTAGTCTTGATCCATTGATTCACGCGCAGAAGGATTTCATTTCCCGCGATTCAATGCAGTTCCAGTTCTTGCCAGTAAGGGAACATACGGAGACGAGTCGAGTTGCAATGGGTCACGAGAAACAAAGACTTGAACCATTACCGCATGCGCACTTCCTGGATGCCTTAAATTATACACGTAGTCTTGTAGATTATTGATTAAATCGGATTTTATTCAACTTGTAGTTTGCCTGCAACTCGGGTTTGGCGTAAGTCATATTAATTAAATGTTATGGATCTGACTGATACGATTTGTGAGTTTTTACTAGTTTATTGCAACACTGATTAGCCACTGCTTGCCTTTGCAGGTTACAACCAGATCTTTATAATCCCTATTGGGGCAACGAGCATTCGGATCAGGGAAGTGGTGCCCACTCGAAATTTTCTGGGTAGAGTCTCGACTTTCTTAATTTTGCTAGTTGTAGGCCTACTGGTTTTATTACTTGATTTGTTACTCTTTAACTCTAAAGATGAGTTATGCCTGCCTGACAAAGCTGCTCCGGATCCCATGATGAACTCAGGAATTAGCAGAGGTGGGGCCGGGGAGGGAAATGGTTGGGCAAGGTCCTTGCTCAACACGTCTCTGTTTCCCTAGCAATAAGTAGGAACCCGGTTGTTAGTCGATGGGCAGTTCCCTTAAAAAAAACAATCGACGACTTTGTGGGACACTGCTGTGTGCAATTGGCTCCTACGTTTTGCCCACAAAATATAGTCAATTCACTTTACAATATATTCTGTGAAGCGCTTTGAGACGTCGCAAGGACTTGAAAAGGTGCTATATCAAATGTAAGAATTATTATTGTTATCGTACATTTGATTCTTGCATTCTCCTTGAGTTTCACATTGATTCAAACAAACAAACATCCCTAAGCTTCACAGAATATAGTGTAAAGCGCTCTGGGACGCCACATCGTGTGAAAGGCGCTATATAAATGCAAGTTGTTGTAAACTGGGGGTTGGAGACCATGAGGGGTGGGGGTGGGAAAATGACTGAAGCGAGGGAAGGGGAGAGGCAAAGGAACTCTAGGTTGGAGTTCAAGAGAGTACAGGAAGAGAGTCTGAAGGCTCCACCTCCGATCATGGGGCTGGCAGGACAGGGGACCTGAAGCAGGCCAGTGCGGAGGGAGCAGACAGGTTAAGGATTTAGAAGGTCACAGAGGTAAGGTATTTAAAATGAAAGAAAATTCATCTAATTTCCCAGAGGTAGGGTGGGGTAAGACCATTGGAGGGATTCAAAAGTGAGAACAAGGATCTTGAATTCCATCCTCTGAGCGATGGGGAGCTTGTGGAACAGGGCGAGGACAGGCGTGATAGATTCACGGAGCTCTAGTGCTCAAGTGTTGATGTATCCTTTTTATTTGTCATGTAAAACTCATTGCAATTGTTTCCCATTGAAATAATTACAGCAATTAAAAATGTTCGTAGTGAATACTACCTGAATGGACATTGGACCATTGATTTCAGCCGAGCATTGTACATTGCAAACACTGTCATTCATTACGAGAGGGGATCTGAAGGGGATCTGGCGCCAGAGGTCATTCATGGGCGAGGACCCACCTCCGAGCCCTTGGTAATCGAGGTTAGTGTGGATCTGGACTGTTGAGTCGCTGTTGCCTATCAAAATGCAATGATTATTATTGAAACTGAGAATGGCTTGACTCGTGCGTCTGTTTGTTTTGCAGATTATCAGCCAGGAGCTAAATCAGGGCGTTGAGTATGAATACTTCTTACCTCGCTACAAAAGGCAGCCCCAAGGCTACTTCTGGAGTTTTGGCTCTTGGAGTTCGTGCAGTAAAGAATGTGGTGGAGGTAATTTTACTACCATTTCTTACAAACCTGGGGTCATGCAATGTATTTGTCCATTGTCCTTTCAGCCCAGAATAATGGAGCTGACTACTCCCTTCCCCGCTTCAGCCACCACACCCCCCCTCCCACCCCACACCCCCAGAGCGGAAACACAAAGAGTGAAAAGGAAAAGACGCTCCCAAAAACAATATGTACAATCCATAATAGCGTTTACAAAAGGAATGAGAAATATTTGAAAAAGAAAATGTTATAAAAGGGCAGGGAAGTGAATGGATAGCTCCAGATGTAAAAGGGCTATACTTTTGCAATTGGGACAGTCTCTGCTCAATTCCTGGTGGGTCAACTCAGGACTGGCCACCAGGAGAGTCGGGTCTGATCTGAGCTCCTCAATTGGGTAAAGGTACAGTGTGGTACAGCAATAAGCCGTGCAGCTTCAAATCTCGCTGTGTATTGTTAACTGAACTCCAGGGCAGTGGACAGGATGCACCAATTGGCCTCAGTGCTCCTGACTGTCCAGAAACTACTGCACCAACCCCTCCCACCTATACTGGATTGTGTGGGTGTTTAGTGTTTATTTCCTGATCAAATGTGGTATTTCTCCTCCCACACAAATAGCTCGGACACTCGTTTCAAGGTTCACTCATAAATAAAAGTGAATTTTAGACGAGCACTGAAGGGAACCTGTAGATCTCTGAACTTGCAAATGAGGGTGAGGGAAGAAGTGAGCTTACCGTCTTTGCCTTGTTGAGATTATTTTCCTTGTAGTTCTAAAAACACAGGTGCGACACTTTACAGTAGACCCTGTGAAGTGCTTTGAGACAATTTGACAACTTGATAAGGGCGAAATTCAAGGATTATCATTGCACTATTTCCAAACACGTAAGGGAATGGTCCAGGAATAATGAGCGAGGTTTCGAGGAGAAATGAATTTTGTAGCATAAAAACATGAAAAATGTATTTTCCTTTAAGAAAATGTTTATCTTTTTTCCTTTATGAAAAGCAATTTTGCTCAGCCTTCAGCTGAGGAATGGAACAATTTATTCACTCACAAAGAGAGAGCTTTAACTGGTGCAGATCGAAAAAGGTTTTTCTTCCGAGAGTTGCCCATAACGGTTTTCTTTTGCTTTGTTTTGTTGCGTAGGCTACCAGACACGACTTACATTTTGTACCATTGACAGCGAAGCCTATCCAGATCAGCTGTGCCAGGCTGAGCTGAGGCCGATCAGCAACAAGACCTGCAACATTCAGCTGTGCCCTCAGACAAAACGGTAGGTGGTCTCTGCACGTACATAATGGAAATACACAAATGAGTGCGTCCGGCAGACCCTCTGATACCTCATATATATAGCCTATATATATATAGCTCAGATAGCCTATATATCTGAGCCTTCATGATGAGTTTCACCTTTAGGCTGATTACTAAAAAGAGCAATCTTCACTAATAATAATAATACTTGCATTTGATGTAGCGCCTTATCACATCATTGAGATGTCTCAAAGCAAATCACGGGGTACACTGTAAAGTGGATTGACTACATTTTGTGAGCGAAACATGGCAGTAAATTGCACACAGCAGTGTCCCACAAGGAGCCATGGAGTGACCGATTTTATTTTCGGGGGGATTATTGGCCAGGAAACTGTTAGAGAGAAACTCCCTTCTCTTCTCGAATTGTGCAATGGGATCCCAATGCTGCGTTGCTCCCAAGTCCTGAAGTAGGGCTTGAATCCGCAACCTTCTGACTTGGAGGTGAAAGTGCTACCACTGAATCAGGCTGACACATTAACTGGAAAGGCAGAAGAGAGGAGAACCCCATTATAAGGATGTAGTGCAAATCCGCCCCAGAGCAGTCCAGGTAACTGGGATCCAAACCACTGCGGTGCCCGAAATCCCACCCAGTCTTGGCCAGCATAATTATTTTGTGTTTAAAAGTTAAGATCGTGCAAAATTAGGGATAATGTTTCGTTCGCTCGGTGCTTAGAAATAAATTGCTTTCAAATTAACACTGAATTGAAGACTTTTTCCCCAATTCTGTGCAATATCATGTTTCTAAGACAAACTGGTCTTACGGTCTATTAGATTAGGTGACATTTCAGGCTGTGTGTAGTTCAGTGCTTACCTTTTTTTGTACTTCTGTAAACTGGATCGTGTGTGCATCCCCGTGCCCAAACATCAACAAATTCCATCACATCCAATATTCATACATTTAATTTAAATTCTGGGAAATTAGATGTTTTTTTATTTTAAACACTGAGAAAAATTGAAGCTTTTTTTTATAAAAAAAATTTGTTCCATGCATAAGGATTTCATTCGTAAATCGACCGAGAGGGTGGAGTGAAAGTGAATGTCAAAGGTCAGAAGTTTACAGGTAACCAAGATGGCTACTACCAATGTATGCACATCTGCAAAATATTTGAGAAAAAAAATCAATGCTGCAAAATATTTTTTTTCTCTCTCTGGCTGCATAGAAGTTTGCAAAGGTGGTGCAGTGCTGTGTGGTGGAGAAGGTGAGTTGCTAAATAGTGGAGAAAGAGCTTGCTTATAGCTGGGAGCTTCAAAGGCAGCACTGCAGCTTCTGGTGTTTGGGCTGTGCTGTAGATGGACATTTTATTGTTATGCAATAAATTAATCTCTCTTTTCTCCCTTGAAGGTATTTAATCTTTTTTTCCCTCCACTGAGTTGCAATTTCCCTGCCGGTAATTGATGCAAGTGGCCTTTGTTGGTTGCGTGATTAGGAGAACTTTTAGAAAATGTTACGGCAGTAACCGGACAACTAGTATTTAGTTCTGTTTGGTTGCAACAAAAGGGGATCGATCGCTCAGGTCTTTGAGGCAGTGCAGAGGAGAGCAATGAGAATAGATTCCCATTGTTGAGAGGACTTCGTCTTGGAGGAAAGTGGGATTTAACCTGCGCCTAATACTCTCTGGAATTAGGTAAGCAGGATGCATCCCTCCAGGAAGAGAATGTGTATTCTATTCCAACAAATCTCTGGAATTTCCATATGTAGGTGGGATGCGTGGAATTCTCAGTTTAGTTTGGATACTCTTAAGTGCAGTGATGGATTTCCGCATGTGTCAGACACGTGGCTGACCAAAAAAAAGGAAGATAGAAACTTATAGAGCTACATAAGATCCTACATGGCACATAGAAAGAGTAATACAGAAGTCATTTAATTTTATAAAAAGCCTTTCAAGTGAAAACAGGTCTCAAAGTGCTTTCGACATTCCCGTTATGGAAATGTGCATTCATGGCTAATAAATATTTTCGGTGTATCAACCTGGACTACCTCAAGCTAAACTCATATGTTTTAGGTGACTATGGGCTCAGAATCCTCTGAGACGGTCAATCGTCTGATACAAAAACTCAACTGCTTGGAGGGCAACCCTCACAAGCTACCCACTAGAGAGAACATAAGAATTGCGAGATGAAAGAAGACCAAGATCCATCCAGTTTGCTTTACACCATCCTGGCAGTCGCATGCACATGTCACATCCCAAACTATATACTGTATCTCAAGCTATTATTTCCTAAGGGAAATCTAATTAGAATTCATTGACTTGAGTATTAACCTTTACATCCCATCAGATGGAAGACGGGTGACTGGGGAATGTGTTCAGTCACATGTGGAGGAGGGGTTCAGACCAGGTCTGCGTATTGCACTTACGTGGACAGAAGTGGAGCTGAGTTGGTGGCGGATGTCACTGAATGCGTTGGGGCTGGAGGCAAGCCTCAATCCCGGCGCGCATGCAACCTTCTTCAGTGTGCTGCGTGGATCGGGACACAGTGGTCCGAGGTACGGAAATACAGCCCACAGCCAAACCCTGATCTGCAGGGTGTCCACAAAGTCCTGTTATCCCCATGTGTTTTATCTCTCTACAGTGCACTCACTGCTCCACAACTGAAACATGTGGAAGGATGATGATAATTGTATTTGGAAGAGCTTAATTGTATTCGGTTCAAGTGTTTCACTGTATTTAGACGTCCAGAGGCTCGGTGTGAGCAAGCGCCATAATTTTCATGGCAGATAATGGTCCGTCACCATCGTCCGTAACATTGAATAAGTGATGAGGTGAAATGCATCTCTTTCAGCTTGTTTCGGTGCCTCCATAGTCTCATATCGCTGTTTCAGTTCTGGTCACTTGTGCCCACCTTCAGCATGGTACAAGGTGGCATCGATAGGGGCACAGACCTTCTCCCCTGCGCACCCTTTATTCACTACAGGTCATAATTGCTCCTCCAATGTCTCCTTGTGATAACCTGGCAGCAAATGCAATTCAAGCACAAAGTGCTGAGCCACGTACCTCAGCCAACACAACACGGGGGTGCACACACACACACACCAAATTTTGAACATCTGGGCCGGGGATGGGGACGGTGAGTGCCGAGAGCCAGACGAGATAAAAGCAAGGCTTGCTAAGCCACATCCTGCATTTCCTCACGCTGGTCAAACATGATGTTTGCAGCACTGCTTCAAGGAAAGTGACCAAGAGCTTTTTTTGCACTTATACCCACACATGAACCGATACATATATGCAAAAACACGCATTCACAGACTGGAGTGACTCCAACCCTCACCTGTGTCCGAGCACGTTGGCCTGGGGGTTGGTGGGTGTCAAGAGAAAGTGACTCTAGATAGGTGAATCTCATGCCTATAAAGTGTATTAATTATTTTCATTAACTCCAAAGTGAATGTGTGTGTATATTTCCTGTGTCCTGTTGCAGTGTTCAGTAACTTGTGGCGAAGGGATTCAGACCAGATCAGTTTCATGTATGTCGCAATCAGGTAGTCAGCTTCCAGCCTTTGCCTGTTCGTCTCAACTCAGGCCTTCAGCATCTCAGGCCTGTGTGCTCAGCTCATGTACTGAAGCTGCTTCATGGTACATTGAAGCCTGGGGGCCGGTAAGTCAAAGCATTATATTTTTCTCCTTCCTTAGTCTTGGATCCAATACCCACATCCTTCATTTCTCCTGTGAAGTCACTAATACTTGCTGGAGAATGGCTTTGGGTACCCCACTTGTGTGGCCATTTTTTATACATGAGCTTGGCAGTAAGTCGACAATGGTGGGGAGGAGAAGTGAGCATAGGAGCAAAGCCTCCATCCTGTCTTAACCAGGAATCGTCTTATATATCTTTCTTTCTGCAGGAGTTATTGCATAGTGATAAGGAACAGAAAACCTTCTGTAGTCTTGGATGTATGGGCTTAATGCAGCCAAATTGGGATTTTGCCTGTTCAAAATGTGTAATAAAAAGTTTGCGAGGTTTATTGATTTTGTGCGTGTTATTCCCTGCTGAGATCAGTGTTATGCCGTGCTTACTGGTACAGACTAAGAATAATTCTTGCATTTGATGTAACAGCTATCAAGTCGAGACTGTTCACAGAGAATTGCTGTCAAGTGTAGTGACTAATTGTTGTATGCAAATTGGCTATTGCAATTATTAACAATGTCGAACCAATAGCAGTGAAGTCAATGGCCAACTTATTATAATTTTCACTTTTCAAATAGTCTTGGAATGTTTCAATAGACAGATTGGATCTCTGTTTAACATCTTATTCTAAGCACATCTAACAATGCAGTGCTCCACCATACTGGGTATGTAGCTCAGTCTATGAGCTCAGAAATCCTGCCATGGGGTTTGAACCCATAATCTGACATCAATTTGATCTGCACTGACCAACGATTGAATCTGGTGACCTTCTGGTCGCAATGAATTATATCCATACTATTCAGGCCATTTACATTAAATCCTTTTTTTTAAAACTTAGCATTTTTTCAAGCCATTTTTATACTTAACTATGAAGTGAATGCCTTATGTAATCCTGTGTCCTATTTGCAGTGTTCAGTATCTTGTGGCGAAGGGATTCAGACCAGATCGGTTTCATGTATGTCACAATCTGGTAGTCAGCGTTCAGCCTTTGCCTGTTCATCTCACCCCAAGCCTTCAATGACTCAGTCCTGTGTATTCAGTGCCTGCTCTGAAAGCTTTTCGTGGTACATTGGAACCTGGGGTCTGGTGAGTGAGTCAGTCACAACATTTTTATTCTTTCTGGTTGAAGGAATCGGGTACATAACTGCTGGTTAATACAAATAGGGAGACACATGGCAGCCGACTGTGTAATCTAAGTTATTTTGTTGGGATCATTTATAATAATCTTTGTATTTGATATATAGCCTTATCACATTATCAAAGCATTTCAATGCATTTCACAGGAATTAGTATATTTTTAGGATGGAGAGAAAGTAACTTCAAGTTCAGGCTTTTTAGCCTTGAGGTGCTATCTCCAGTTCTGTGATTTTTACACAGAAGGTTTGTTAGAATATGGAATGCCCTCCCAAGAACTATGATTGAGACAGAGTCTATATTACCATAACAACTTGCATTTATGTAGCGCCCTCCCTGCAAGTTAGCGCTGAAAATATATTAGCTCTTAAGAAGGAATAGGCTAAATATCTAAAAAGTAGTATATTTAAGTGGGGCCTGGGATTAGGTGAATGGGACTAAATAGTAGTCAGAGTCAGCATGGACACAGTGGGTCAAATGGCCTCTTTCTGTGCTGTAAATTCAATGGTTCTCATGCCATTAGTATACTATAATATTCTGGTAGTTATTTTGGAAAGGAAGTGAACAGAAGACCTTATGAACAGTGCATAAAGTGAGTAGTTGGGCTTAGGTGTCCTGATACCCATCACTTGATTTGTTGCAGTGTTCCAAGAGCTGTGCTTCAGGACGACGGAAACGCCAGGTCCTTTGCTACGATCAGGATCTCAAATATCAGCTCCCAGAACTATGTAACCTCAGGGCTCGACCACACGAAATTGAGGAATGCAACACGCAACCGTGCTTCCTGCCGCAAGGTAAACCTCGCTTCTTGTTTGCGTTGCTCTTTTTTTAATGGAGGCGAGATTGGGATCTTTCTATTTTGTAAAATGCTTTCTTATCTACCTAGCTGGACAGCTGGAGGAGAGAGGATTGTGCCCTGATTTTAACAACTAGATTCTTTTGGACTGTTTTCACAAACGTGGCAATCATTACATTATTTGCTAATCATATTTTCTTCGACTCGCACAGATGTTCCGAGTATGCAGGACCCCACAGGATTTGATCCAGATAGAGAGATACAGATTGTCCCATTTGCTGGCGGTCAGCCATCTTCAGGTGAGTGGGCCCTTCAGAACCTAGTTATAATGGGTTAGTCCAAATAATATTTTTTTTGTCAAGGAAATAGTTATTTTTCCAGCAAATAAATTCTTCCTCAAAGTCTTCATTGTGAAGTTCAGGCATTGTAACCAAAAGAGGGCACCACAAAATATAAATCAATCCACTTTACAGTATATTCTGTGAAGCGTTTTGAGACTAATACCAGGATTATTATTATTTTCTCTGCTTCCTTCAGGTGGATGTTCGATCCCTGTTTGAAAAGACTAGGGAGTTTCTCCAGAGTCTCTCAGTGTGACCCTCCAAATTAATTGGTTGTTAGGGTCGTAGATATTTCAAGGGGAACTTGCTGATAATGCAAATGGCTGCCAAGTTTGCCTACAAATAGTCATTACAATAAAGCGTAGTGGTTAGTGCTCACCTTGCAAGCAAGAGGACCCAGGTTCAATTCCCGGTCGGCGTGAAATCTTAGGCAAGTTTTCTTACTCCATATGTCTCTGTTTACCTAGCAATAAGTAGGAACCCGGTTGTTAGTCGATTGACAGAGTGTTTTCCAGGGGTAATAATCCATCCAAAATAAATTAATTAAAATTTGCTCACTCAATCCACGAATGATTGTGGGACACTGCTGTGAGCAACTGACTGCGGCATTTTGGCCACAAGATACACAGTCACTTCACAGTCAATGCACTTTACAATATATTCTGTGAAGCGTTTTGATAATTCTCAATGACATGATAATGCGCTATAACAAATGTGAGTATTAGTATTATGATAAACGATGATTCACTGTGGTAAAGTGCTACAGATATGCAAGTTTCCTACATTATTCTCCCCCTCTCATGCTCGAGACTGTTTTTATGTTTCAATCTGTTAGACTGGTACCCTAGCCAGGATTACCTCCCAGGAAGAAGAGAGTCCAACCAGCTTCCTTCTCTGTCACGAAGAAATGAATGGGAGCGGCCGACCTACTACCATTTTGTCCCCGAATCGGATTATCCTACTTCAGGAAGCGTTTCCAACCCATCGAGACCCAACCCACCTCAGCCACGCCAGGAACTGCTGGCACCCTCTCTGAACGATTGTACTGTGGAATCTTATGGCTGCTGCCCTGATGGCTTTGCCCCAGCGAGAGGACCGGGAGGGCAGGGCTGCCCATCCATTCCGTGCTACAAAAGCAGGTAGTGAGTAGATTGTTAGTGTAGCTTTTCAGAGCAAAGTGTCTTTTGTCTGACTGTCCATGAAGATTATGCGTTAAAATGTTTCCTTTTGGTATTTCTCCGTGTTACTAAACAATGCAAACAGAAAGTCCTTGGTACAATTCCATGTCTATACTGAGTTTAGCTAGGTGCCATAATTCTGTAGCGTAGTAGTTAGAGCACTCGCCTGCCACAAGCGAGAGAATCCAGGTTCGATTCCCAGGTGCGGCACAACCTTAGGCAAGTTTCCTTACTCCACATGCCTCTGTTTACCTAACAGTAAGTATATACCCGGTTGTTAGTCAATTGGCGGATTGCTTTCCAGGGGTAATTAATCCCTCCCAAAAAAATAATAATAATTCGGTCACTCAATCCATGACTGTTTGTGGGATGCTGCTGTGTGCAATTGGCTGCTGCCCACAAAATGTTCACTATACAGTATATTCTGTGAAGCGTTTTGAGATGTCTCCATGATTTGGTAAGGCGCAAAATCAAACACAAAAGTAATTTATGAAAGAAACTTAATGTAAGGTTGAGATGTGTGTGGATGTACTTTGTCAGAGTTTGGGGCTGATTTTAACAGTCTTTACTATCTTTACTTTCTGTACAGAGTCTCTACTTGCTAACCCTTTGTGAAATTTTCATTGTTTGTCAGAACACTTACTAAAAGCTTGCAGGAATATCACACAATTTAGACCTTATTACAGAGGACCACCTTATAATGGGGTCACACTGAATGGTAACTTTTTTTCTCTCTGCTGATTTATTGTGACTGTTCGCCCGGCTCCACTGGCTCCTCATCCCTCAGAGGATAGAATTCAAAATCCTCATCCTCACCTTCAAGGCCCTCCAAGACCTTGCCCCCTCCTACAGCTCTGACCTGTTGACCCCCTATCAACCTGTACGCTCTCTCCGCGCTCTCCACTCAGCAGGCTCCAGCCTGCTCCACGTCTGCACCCTACCATCAGCGGCCGAGCTTTCAGCCTCTCTGCTCCCACCCTTTGGAACTCCATCCCACAATCCCTTCCCCTTGCTCCGTCCCTCACCTCTTTCAAGGCACGACTGAAGATCCTCTTTTTCGACCATGCCTTCAGCTGCCCGCCTCCCTCTCTGGCCTCCCTCATCCCAACCCTGACCCCACATGTTCGAATCCTGATCCCCGACGGTTCAATGCCTTGGGACGTCCTCCCGACATGAAAGGCGCTTTACAGATGTAATTTTGTTGTTGTTAACTGGGAAGCGAGCCAGTATAAACGTGTTCTGAATCATCATACAGATATTTTAATTGATCAGGTATGGATGTTGCCCTGATGGAGTGACTTCGGCAAAAGGAGCTGATCATGCAGGGTGTCCGAGGCATCACACAGATCATTATAATGAAGATACCAGGGGAACGTCTGTAAGTAAAGTGTGTCTTTGTAATACTGTGAGTTTCATTCTGCTGCCCCTTGTCTGTAACTTTTGACATTTCTCATTTCTGAATAACTTAATTCCCTTGAAAAGAATCTTTGTCTGTTTTTTCCTAACCTTTAATTATGATTATCTTAAATTTGTGTCCTTGTTACTGACTCACCAACCGGTGGAAACAATCTATTTCTCTTCAACGCCTGTTTTGTAATTGTGAAGACCTCTATCGGGTCACACCACAGAAAATGCCTTAAAATTAAGTTTTTTGTTCATTTTGAGTTTAATTACCTGCTCAGAGTGAAAGTGCTGTTGAAATGTTTGATTCTCCATCAGTGTTAATAAAGTGAGCAGCAGGTTTGTGTGGAAGAACTGAGCTCACTAATCCACCTCCCTGTCGATCCCATGTGCACCCCTGTACTTAAGGTCAATTAAAACTATACTAAATATCATTTTACTAACTTAGAGCCAGAAATTAGTTTACCGTAACATATTTATTGAAACATTACGTCCATGCACCATTGTGCTTTCCCAAGTGTGAGCCTGCTGTAAACCACTGGATTGCACTGCATTTGCCTCTAGAAATGGTATCCCAAATGTCCTGCTCTGAGGTTCAGGATTGAATGCGACTTGTACTGATAACTAAACTCAGTAAATATCCTCAATATTTGATTCTGAACTGAACACTGTAGTTAACACTTTATGTTTTGGTTTGAAGAACAGCCAGTTATAACCGATGTAGATGTTCTTTTCTTCATGTGTTAGGAGCACTAAGATTTATAAATCGCAGTTGTTTTATCAGCTTTCAAATGTCATTGTTGGCAGTACAGGTGCCAGATGCCTATAATGACAGCTGTGGTCACCATTAGGGGATTATTGAGATGCTATTTGCTCCAGATCTTCTGATCTGCATGTTTTAAACATTTGATCTTAATGTGTCGGGTTACAATCTCTTGCGCATTATCAAACAGATAAGAGGAAGAAACGATAGAACTGCGTAGTTATTGACTCAAACTGAAAATGAAACCGGATACACAAAGCATTTTCATCCATTTCTAAATATAAATATAAACTATGGTAAGTATCGCTCTTGCCTCTTGTTTTTATTGAGCATGTGCGAGATGCTACCTAGCGGCGATCGACTGATTGGAGACCCCTGTTGTACGTTTTTTTAAAACAATGAATGGTACAGCTTTTAAGCACAAACTCTCTGCCTGTGTGAAGGATTCCCGTGTTTCGACTCGAGATGAACCATCAACCAGTGCGTGCCGAGGTTCTACATTTGGCTGCTGTCACGACCAGTCCACCTCTGCTTCAGGCCCCACTGGAGAAGGATGCAGGAATGTGCCTCACTATCGTACGTTATCTAATTATTTGCTGCTTTTGAACATTTACAATTCTTTTAAAAAATAACTTTTGATTATTCAGTATAATGGAGGCATAACAAATTGTGAACTGGTTGTAAATTGTGAACTGGTCTTTTTCCACGGTCACTCCACTCTTCTCATCTCCTCGGGCACCTCTGCTTATCTGTCATTTTCTCTGGGTTGCTTTACTGCCTGTCTCTCTCTCTCACACAAGTCCTCTGTTATAGAGAATTTGAAATTGTACTTTTAGGATAAATAGAGTAAACTTGTTAATTGGTTGGCTGGTAAAGGGATGGACAAAATTCCTTTTTAATTTAAGGAATATCACTTGCATTGTTTGCTTTGCAGTCTGCAAAATACATCTAAGACTTTGCTATCTTTTTGAATTTTTTTTAATATAGCTTACCCAATTGGGTGCCTGTTACCAAGTGCCAATGGCCCATGCGCTGACTGGATGGTACGCTGGTTCTTTATTGCCAATGCTGGCGTTTGCAACCGTTTCTGGTACGGAGGGTGCCACGGGAACAAAAATAACTTCCAGACAGAAGAAGAGTGTCTGAGGAAGTGCAAGGGATCAAGTTCCCAGGGTGTTCCTGTCAGCACAGTGGATGGAATACCCCAAAGTTGGCTGCCTCACATTGAAGAGACAAACCAGCGTGAGCCACTATATCCTGTGAGACCTGGGGCTTCGATAAACCAGTTGCCTGTTCAACCTCAACCAGAGCAAACTGTATACAGGTATTTCTTATAAGTGTTAATTGCAGCTCAGACGTTGGATTCTGGACTGTGCTGAGTTAGCTGAACACAACCAGGGTGAATGTTGGGTTGGGAGAGGGGAAACAGAATCAGCAGTGGTTACTGCTCCTGATCGCTGACGAGTGATCTCCACTGGAAAACCCACTTCTGTAAACATTGATTGTCTACCACAGTCAAATAGCCTGCTGTCACCTCGCCCCTTGTGTGGGGTTCTGGAGAGTGGCTGGTTGACATCTATAGAATAGTTTCCAGTACAAGTCATGAGGGAGGTGGGGGGGAAGAGAAGAGGAAAAATGATCTCCATGCAAATCGAATGGGGAAAATCTGCATGGAAGTGAATCAACCTATTTGAGTCCTATAACTAATGCTGCTTTTTGGTCACAATATATGTAATTACTCAATGGGTACAATTCCTTTACAAACTGAAGAAGATTAGAAACAGTGGCTTCATCACTGTTGCCTGGATACACTGATTCTCCTCTTGTTATAGGTTGAATATAGAAAGGCGTGATCCCTCGTCTGTGGATGCAAGTCCTGGGCAGACAGCAAAGTTGCTCTGTAGGTTCGATGCGTCTCCTTCTCAGACTGTTGAATGGCGCAAGGATGGCAGGACGATCTACTCAACAAGGTTGGTTTCTCTGCTCATCTTAAATGCAGTTTCAGTTTTGGGGTAAGAAGTGCACCAAACGTGTGGGTGAATTTATGGCTCACTGAACTCCCCTCCTCCCTTCATAAACTGTCCAGTGGCTTTCCATGGATGAGCTTTGCATGATCCGTATTACAAGAACCCCCATGTTCTACAGAGCATTTTGACCATCTCTGTCTCTTAAAGCTGTCTCAGTCTCCAATCCAGCAGCAGGTGACAAGAGAGCCAGAAAGAGCCAATATAGGCAGAATCAGCTGGGATGTTTGAAAGGGGAAATTTATTTTGGAAGTAAAGGTACTAAGGTGTATGGAAAAAGATGAGACGTGGGATTCAATGAAGTGTCTGCCATAATATGCATTCATGAGTGAGAAGAGAATAAAGGGGTATGGAGAGGCATTATGATGGTGGCAGCTCATGAAGAGTATGAACACTGACATGGACTAGTCACACCGAATGGCCTGTTTAGGTAATCTGGTGTATGTATTTCTACATAATAGACTTGCAGGCAGGCTCTTTCTGTTCCTGAAGATCAGAGATTGGTAAATGCTGGAGAGGGAATAATTTGGCTTCTCTTGATCGTTGGTGTGTACCATCTTCAGGCACACCACACATTCAGATGGCTCACTGGTGATCAGTCGGGTCACAGAAACAGATGCTGGATTGTACACCTGCCATGTCTCCAATGGACGAGATCAGGATTTCCGTCACGTTAAGCTCAACGTTCAAGGTACTGTTAGCACCAGGAGCGCACTCCTTGAGTATTAGTTAAACACTGATTCTGAAGAAATGGTTCTTTTAACAGCGGATTTTTGTAAATGGATTTGGTAAAACAAAAAAAACCTGGTAAGATATTTTATTTCATGGATGTTGGAGCTATTCAGTCTCTGATGCAGTAACAATAATGTGATGGTCACTGTTCCAGTAGTATTTCTCAGATTCATAAATTGATAATGAATCCTATGTCAGCATTTTTACGAATGTCCTGGTCCTCTTGGTAGCTTCCTTATTGACGTGGTTTGACAGTTTGAGTTTTTAAAAACGTTTCCCCCCTCCTGAAGACACTGGAATATGTTTCTACAGAAACAGGGACCCCTCAGAGTCCCAAACACATGCTCATTCTTCATGTCTCAATAATTAAGATTATTCAACCCCGTGGGGAGTCTGATCCTCATTGATTTACATACACATATGTTTTCCAGTAGGAATCCTGAATAGCAATCAGGGCAGGAATGGATACTGTTTTGGCTGAAATCACTTAACTTTGTGTAAACTGGGAATTTAACCTAGCCTTTCTGGACAAAACTGTTGCAGTAACTTTACCAGTAAGGCAGTCCTAGCTGCTTATGTTTCTGGGTTTATGATCCAGCTGTTTAGAACGATCCAGGGCAGTATTAAACAGCTCACATGATCTTAAGTTCCCCATCAACCTATGGCCTTTTATAGACCCACTAAATTGGTCACTCGCTATGGAATGGATCAAATGGTCTTCTACTGTGTCATGAAGCTTTACAGTTCTGTGTGCATCAAGATGGGATTCATTGGAATGACTCAGTTCAGTACAATACACTGCTTCAAGCTGTGCAACTAATGCATAATTTTAATGCAGTAGGAACAAAATTGAACTGACCTAGTGACACGCATGATGATCTTGTGCTGGGTGTGCTAACTGATTCCTTCCTTTCACTAACTAACATCTGGTTATAGAGGTGATCGTTGGGAAAAGTTGGGAATAAAACTGATTTTAAAATTTGTCTGACTAACTAGTGTCTATCAAACATGATTGTCTGAAGCAAAAAAAATGTAAGTTAGAAGAATCCCATCACTTGACATCAGTGTTTTCACACATCAGTTGTTTTTCGCCTTGCTCCAGGAATGTTCCAGGTAGCTGCATTATTGAAGCTATTCAGGATGGAAAGCATGATGTAGCAAGAAACTATACACTACCAGTGTATTGGAGCTGTTTTAACTACTTCCCTGTAGATGCCCCATCCCCTCCTCCAGTCCTCTGTGCACTGACTGTAGATAAGAGGGACAGCATAGCAAGCTTCTGCCAATGTCACTTTGAGCCCGAAGGGAGTAAATGTGAACCAATGGGCCTAGAGTAACTCATGATTTTCCTCTCTCATTTCTGTCCCTTTCCAACCCATGGAATAGCAGCTGCTCCCAGATTAAGGCCTCAGCAACATGCCTCAGTTGGATCGGCCGAACACAATGAGATGCTTCATTCTACTTGAATGGCTGACTCTTCCATGTTGAAGCTCTTAAGAGGTCTCCAACCATGGTCATTACCTGAGGTTGGAATTCATAGTAGAAAGACTCCCAATATTTGGGCGTACATAAGCAACTCGTAAAATGCAAATGTTTCTACTGATTGAAATCTGTGAACAGTGAAGTCAAGTGAGTTCTCTTGTCCAATTAATTACTTTTTTTTTGCCTTAAACAAAAAAGGAAATTCAGACCCAATTTTTCTGACCCAAAAGCTTGAATGATGTTTGACGGACCCTGCACGTCTATGCTGTTTATTTCGCTGGGGAATTTGGGCATTCATTCTTTCTTCTGTGTCCAGCGGCTTCTTACATTCGTCCAGATTTATCTGTTGTTGAAGCTCGGGTTGGGTTCACTGCTCAGTTGCCGTGTCGGGCTGAAGGAGTGCCGAGACCGGAGGTGTTTTGGGAAAGAAATGGTGCACGGCTGGGAGCAGCAGCGAGGCCTCGCCTCACTCAGTTGGATGACTACTCCTTACGGTTTACTGCGGTAGTGCCTGGTGATGCGGGGGAGTACATCTGTGTTGCTCACAATAACGTGGGGCCTATACAAAGGAAGGTGGTGCAACTTAAGGTCAAAGGTTTTTATGATATCAACTTACACATTTTAAATAACTGTAAATCTTGACGAATTGCTTTGTGAACCTACCCAGTTTGTGCTGCTCAAATCCAACTGTAACTAGATAATCTTATGAACTTTGAATGAATGGTTTGTCCAGTGAGCACTATTTTTTAACCTTTTTTTTAAAAAAAATTCTCTGCATGGAGTGATCACTTCACTTGTCAAGATGTTAAAGATACAATATAAATGAAAACTTTCCTGTGTTTGTTTTTTAAAATGTGTTGTAAATTCTCCACTCCTTCCCCACCTAACTGAAACACTTGGAAGTTTAACTTAATGCAGAGCAGATGGGAGGTTGGGGGGAATATAAATATTTGACCGTTGCACCCTATTAGGCCACACCAATGTTGCCATTCTGTGAACATTAACCTGTACAGAAGGAGGTGAAGAGATATTAAAAAGGTTTTAGGAAGAATCCTTCCCCTTATCCAAGTTTTTGCAATAATGATTGCATTCTTCCAAACAGAGTTCAATGTGTGGAGTAAACTTATTTTGTGTGATCCTTAAGCCAATGCTAGATACTGAGGACATATGTTCATTTAATGGCCAAGCTGTGTGTGTTTTAAGAATTTAATTTTTTTTTACGCATTTCGTTTGCATAAGGATATGTCCTTTATTCTCTTCCCCGTCTCCTTAGCACACTCACACCAGGGTACAGTTTCACAGAGCCTTATTTGCCCTCCAGTATCTGGCAGTGTCTCAGTGTCAGTTGAGATATGTGGAAAGTATTCAGCTAGGGCAAGCTCTATCCATAAGTATCTCCTAGAAGGGTCAGTGGATGCTCATTGGCTGAATATTATCCTCCTTCCTATCCTAAGCCGTTGAATGTTTCAATTCCAAAGTGTGTTTAATTTTTAATTTAATTCTGTATTTATGAAATTTAAAAATGCTTCTAGATTAATTTAAATATTACATACAGGTTTGACTTGCTTACTTCGATTGTTAACTTTGTTGTCTTAAAAGGCAACACTACAACAAAAGTACTTTATCCATATAATTAAGAAAACAAATAGTAGCATATTCCTTTCAAAAAAACTCATTTGAAGATACCTTCTAAGGAGTGTCACCCATCCTAGCTGTTACAATATAATTTTATTCTAGCGTAAAAAGTAATGGTGCAGATTGCTTCTTTCCTAATTCCCTCTTCTGCCTCCTCCCCCTAATACAGAACTGAGAAATGGGTACATTTAAGAAGAACGTGTTAACCTAATAAGTTGTGTCTTCATTCAGGGGAACTGAAGATTACATTACCTCCAGAAGATCTTCACATTCGTGAAGGAAGAACGGCCAGGTTTCCATGTGTGGTGTCTGGTAATAATGTCACTGTGCGATGGACAAGGTAAAAGAATATCCACACTGTTTGCAAATTACTTTTCATAACGTTTAAAATTTTCACCCATTTCTCTATGATAAAACTGTGTCCAAGATGTGTCAGCCTTTACTTTTCTCTTCCCAAAATGGAATATTAACCTATTGCAAGGTATGTTCAGTCAACAATGGAGCTCAAATTTAGGCACTGTCAAAAGTTAAAGGTGTGAGCATCCCATTAGGAATAATTAGGTCTCCACCTGCCCCATCCACCCCAAAAAGGTAATACAGGATTTTTAAGGAACATATACAGAATGACAAAAAAAGCACTTTGCCAAATTTGAACTCGATCCAGAAAGAGATTCATTAGGTTTGTCAATTGTGGGGAGCATTAAATTAAACAATTTGAGATTGGATAATTCAACAGAATGAATGTCGAAATTGGGACTTTCTCGATCTCTAGGACTCCGTCACCCTGAAAGAAACTTTTTCTAATGCAGGAATGGAATTCCTCTGCAAGCTGATGGTCAGCACATCTACATTTCACGAGACGGTACCTTGGTTTTAAGTGATGTTCAGCGTGAAGATTCTGGTACCTACACCTGCAACGCTTACAGCGGCTCACACTCTGTTAGTGCAAATGCAGACCTGACGGTCACATGTGAGTATGTCTAAAGCATTAATGGCTAACAAGACTATATTAGAAGTTAACTCTTCCTCCCACTCTACATTGCTCCTCCAGCTGAGAATCCAGGAATGTGGGTAGGACATCAATTGCCACTGCAAAACTGGATTGTGTAGCTACTCATTGGATTAAAAAGCCACATCTATTACATTAGTAAAATATATGGTGCAATATTAGTTTCACCAAATTGCCTGCTTATTGTCCCAGCTGGAGGAGGACAGTAATGAACCAACAAAAGAAGAAAAATGTTTGTTTCTGAATGAGTGAATTCATGTGCAATCTGGGTTTATTCAGTTTGATCACGTTAATGATCTTGTAACTTTTATAAAGTACATCTTAAATGCAGATAATCTTTAATACATCAAGTTAAAATGTTTTGTTGCAGCAACTTGTACATATTTACTGCTTTCTATTTTCATCATGTTTGGACAGTTTTCAAATACATTTCCAGCATCCTCTCTAGACAAAATTCCTAATCTTAACAGTGCTGATTACGACGGTAGGCTCCTTTCTTTGTTGTACTGTTGCTCTTTCAAGCCTTGGACTACATCTTATAACAGCTACCATGAATAATGGCAGAGGATAGACGAGTTGACCATATTACTTAATACTGTATCTGTCTGAATTGGACCTGGTGTAGAAAACAATTCCATCTTGCTTTACCCCACAAATTGCATAATGGATTCAGTATTATCCTTAGCAAGCGTTTGGGTCTATTTTGAATAACACTAATGGACCAGAAATGTCATTTATTGAAGGATGATCATTCCTAGGAAGTAAGAAAGCTTTCAACGTGTAGGAAATTAGGTCACACAACTAGGGCAACAGCCACTATAGAGACTACTGTTTGATAAGTCATTTAAGCAGTACGGTTTTATCTTATTTTGCCAGAACTTTCCAATTTCTGACGAGAAGGCAAACCCTTTTTTAATTCATGTAAACTTCAGAGAGTATGCACACTCCAGACAGGGGAACTTTCAGCTGGAACTGGCATGAATATGTAGAACTCTGTCTGGTTTGAATACTTGTACAGATTTGTGATGGGTTTCTGTAAGTAGCTGACACCATTTTTCAGGTAATCTTCAGTTTAAATTCATTTAGTTTAACACTGTTCACTTTTTTAAAAACTGAAGTCTGAAAATCAACTTCGCCCGGCATGTAATTTGCTATTACTATCTATGGCTCTCTAGTCATCACCAGCCTCAAACTACTTTTTTTTTAAAAAAGGATGAGCACTAAACCAAAAAGGTGAGTAGTTTTCAGTCAATATTTAATGTCTTCACTTTAGTACTTGCAATGGTTTTACACTCAACATTTGTTAAGACTGATGATAGAAGTTGATGAATGTTTAACTACATGCAATATTTCAATCTTGCACTCTGCATGGACGGTAGTTCAATTACACCGTCAGTCATGATTTGCATTAAGAGTGCAATAGTTACTGTGCAAATCTGAAAAAAAAATTGATGGCCAGAGTAGGCTGTTATTTTAATTCTCATTCGTCAAATGCTTACCATGTATCAAATGTGGAAAGAAACTTCACCATTTAGCAATTACCAATTCTTTTGGCTTTTGAAATCCTAAAATAACTTCTAAGAGTCAGAATAAAGGCTTTTTTTCATATTTTTAACTTCAGCTACTACAGCAGTAGTGCAGCCTGCAGCCCACGGTGCGGTGTGTGTTGATCAGCCAGAGTTGGCTAATTGTGATCTCGTAGTGCAGGCCAACCTCTGCTCCAATCTGTACTACTCCAGCTTTTGCTGTGCAAGCTGCTCCAAGGGCAGGTCACATAACAGCCATCTCCAGCGGCAGGGATAGTGGTGCCTCGGGGAGCTGTGGTACTCAGGTGATGGGAAGAATTTCTCTTGGTGTTTTAAATTAATGAGCATTGCATATGACTTGCTAAACTATTCAGTTTGCATGACTATTTTCATTTTAAACTCTGATGTTTTATACAAACTGTGCTTGGTTGGGTACTTGCTTTCAGGCAATATATTACCATATAAAGCAACATAATAATGAGGCAGAAGCCATCGCCCTTGTTCACTCAGCAATTGCAAGATGTCTTTCTCAAAGAGCCAATAAATTGAAAAGGCAAAACCCTGATTAAGCCAGTATTATTGCCAGTGCTCAATCATTGTGCTGTGTGCATAAGGAGACAAAGCAAAGAAATTAACTGTCCTACAATGTTTGTTCTGGCACCTACAAGAAAATTGCTTAATCTAAGGTTGGCATAGTAACCCAAACTGACGAGGAGCTTAGAAGGAGCCTGAATCCTCTCTTACTGTGTGATCGCTTTCTGAAACCATTTCTAGCTTTTAAGATTCACCTATATTATATTTCCTATTCACTCCTGAAAGTTATACCTTACATTTGAGAGTGATCGCTTTAGTAGTTTTCAGCAATACACCAGCAAACAGGATGCTGTGCTATATTGTTAAATCAGTTGAGGTTAGATTTCCAGATGTTATACTCTGGTCACCAGGACATAAGATGGCTGCCCAGGCCATAGAAGCAATTCGCAGAACGATGAAGTGGTAGAGCAATGAAAAATAATTAGACAACCTTGGGTTTCAGGCTTAAGAAAAAATGACATTTTAAATGGCATTGAAAGTGTACACCTAGACAATACGATGCACCAACATAGAACAGAGATTTTGAGTTGCAAAGGGCAATTTTAGGACACCAGGAAGTTTTTTCTTTACTCAAAGGATATTTAATGACATGACCAGGTTGCCAGAAAGGATGGTTGAAGCCAGAACACTATTTGCTTAAAGTTACATGATAATATGCTAGGAGAGTAGTGGGGTGGGTATTCTAGAGGGTCAGATTAGATGGGCTGAAGGGTCACTTTCAATCAAACCAATTTTATCAATCTTCCCTTTTGCAGTTCTTGCAACTTTCTCACTCGAGACAACTACCCCAGACATCCTCGAATTACTAATTTGATTTTTGGGGTCCATCTATGAAACACTGCAAATGGTTCTGCCTCTACACAAGGCATTTTTGCATTGACTAGCAAAAATACTCCTACACATTGACTGATAAAAATAAAATTAGTAAATTTTAATTTCTTGTGCATTGTGATAAAATGTTGCCTGGAAATTTGTATTGATTGTAATGTTACCTTCTTTATGCAAGGATTAATGTTGTGCAATGCTAAGAACATTGACTTGACTTCTTTAATGGCTGTTTGACTTTCCTTAGATACATGTTACTAAGCCTATTTAGAAACAAGTTTCAGAAAAGTTGTTCTTCCTTGATCTAAATGGTCTTTTGTAGCAGCTATATTTAGGTTAACAGTTAAACTGTTTAAAAAGTACAATTTTAACTATTTTGAATTAGTTTCACCCACAAAACAATGACTTAACTTTATGGTAGATCCTGTAACTTTGGAATGTCCTCTGAATGTGTGAAAGACACTATAACAAATGAGGATTATTATTAATTTCCTCTCCACCACCAAATGTCATCTTCCAACAATTCCAAGTGAAAGGATACAATAAAATGTTGGAAAAAGTGGAATTTAACATTTGTCTTTATCTAGCTTCTTTCCCCAGAAAAGCAACAGTTAATCTGCTCAGGATTCTTTCGTAATTTGGGAAAATTGCAATTTGGCAATTGTAACCACAACTTTTTTGACTCAATAGCACATTCCTTCATACAGTCTATGCTGCTAATTTTGAATCTGACTTAAGTACCTCAGACCCCCCCATTCATAATTACTGTACCAAACTATACAAATTTTAAAAGCCAAGCAATTTTAAAGAATCATTGCTATACTGAACACTTCAAAAGCAAAGTCATTTTGAAACCATGTGTACTTTCACTCTTTGTTCCATTTGTTCCACTGGAACATGATTCACACAAATGCACTTTTCTCCTCCAGTCTTAAACACTATAAACCTTTTCTTTGCTTGCTTTGCCTGGCCTGCATGTTTTTATTTCACAGCAGAAGCACAGTAGTCGCAAGAAAAACCCCTGCACTGGGAACATGTCACTAGCTGTGTATCAGTAAATTAAATTAATGTGAAGAATATGCTGTGGAAGCCATTGAAAGGTCAGTAGTGTTTTAAAATGCAGTCTTGCATGAAGTGGAATAAACTGAAGCACCAAATAACATGAAGGGAAATCTTTTCTATTGAATCAACATTTACATTCTTTAGGGACTGAATCGAGAGCACTTTAAAATGCTTTAGTGTAAACTTGAAAAATATTTCTGATTGGTTGCCAACTTGTGTTCTAGGTCCGTATGATTGAAAATAGGTAACTAAGGCACCCTGTGGGATTCAACTCAGTGCGAAAATTCTGTACAACTAAAGATGATCAAGATATTTCTGACAATACTTTGTATATACTATGGAACTGATTTTTAAAAATCTTGCCATAGTAATAGATGTTTGAACGATAAGTGCTTTGAAAAGATTAACCAAGTTTGATATATTTGCTATGGTTTTGTAAATCTTGCATATTGAGCACTGCAGCTTTGTTTATACACTGACATGAATTTGTTGGTTTAATATTGTACATTTTAATGGTCACCAAAATTTCATCAAGTGCATTTTTATGGATCAAATGGTCATGTGTAAAAGATGTATATTACGTACTGATTAATCAATGAATTAAAACATCTTGTTTTGAATCAGCTGTCTTTTCACATAACTGCAGGCTATAAGAATACATCATCAGATAAAGCTGTAGCAATACCATAGGAAAGTGCTGGTGGCATTTATAATTAGCAGTTACTCAGTTCAACACTACTGCCCAATTTCAATGGGGAGTTGGGGTGGAGAGCCAAAGTGATTTTTGTTTCACATAGTGACAAGCCTACCTGACTGTCTCACAAATTCTGCATCAGGATGTTTGGACACCTCAGTTGAATGCTCACTAGTGAGGTACTGGAGGGGAGCTGACACCTACAGAATACATTCTGTCAATTTCCAATTCTCTTCTCCCTCATGGAGAGCTTCACACAAAGTTAAGATCATCCCTGCTAAATTCTATCTCTACACTAAGTTGGTAAGTAAGATCATACTTTCGTCTACAGTTCAATAATTGTCATCTTTGCTGCTGAAACATATACAGAATAGTATTTGGTCAAACATTTGTCTGCCTGGTGACTTGGAGAGAGAGAGCAGATTAGATTAATTCTAATGAATTACTGTCTTGCTCATTGGTGTTTAATGTAGGCATTCATTTAAAATTTAAGCTTGACATTAATAAAATATGCCCATTAAGTACATTTTGCAGCCAACATAGCTTTTTCCAACAACAGGTAAAAACTGACAAGTTTTAAGCAGTGAAATGCAACTGTTGGTCCAGCAGCAGTGGAGACATTAAAACATTACATTATTTCAGTCACATGAACACTTGAGTGTGCATGCTATTTGCTGTATAAACAGAATAAAATTAAGCACAACTAGGCAGCCCAAGAATGGATTGACTTGTCCAGTGTTGATTTTCCTTCCTCTCTCTAAGGAGGAAAGAAATACATCTGGTATTTTCCTTACTACCCTATGTGGGGGCTCTATATAAATGTAAGTCGTTGTATCTTCAATCAGAGCAAGAGAACTCAATGTTGGAAAAGGTGAATGCACATTTAGCCCCTATACCAGGAATTGTTTCTGCACAAACTCCTCCCCTTAGGAATACTCTTCCAAATATTTGCATTGGAAAACAGCTAAACATTTAGGGCATAGTTGAGGAAATTGTTCCCTGGTTTCACTGGTCATTTCTGCCATCCAAGCAAGCCTTACAACAACAACTTGCACTTATATAGTGCCCTCCATGCAGGGTAGTGTCTCAGAGCGCTTAAAAGACCAACCTTTATCACATACCCATTGCCTTCTCGAGATTTGGTCACTAACATCTGACTTTTGGGTCAAACTTCATTTAGATTTGACTGTCCTGTCTGGCCCATAAGGTCTCTACACATTACCATTAACTGGTTCACAGAATTCTGAAAATATGGAAAGGAATTAAACAATCTTTGCATAGTGCCTGAAGCGAATATCCATAAATGAAGATGCTTCATTTTATGATAGTTGCTTTCCGAGTCTGCAGAGGAACCATTAGCTTTATAAGTAGTTAAAAATTAATGCAATTGTTTGTGCTAAAAGAGGAACAAATCACATCGTCTTACCAGCCAAGATCCATCACAGAGGATTAATCACAACTTCAATCTTGACTGAAATTAATGTTAAAAATTAAATACAATTATTTCAATCCTGTAAGATTTCATTTTCATGTAATCATTGCAATTTTATACTAGATCCTGTTCAACCGTGTCCCATTCAAATAGTATTTGCAATGTTCTTCCACAACTTGTCATTTATTCTGCACTATTTCCAAAGGCACTGCTCATTTTGCATCTTTTGAGAACATTTGTAGCTATTTTTCTCCTTGTTTTAAGTTGTATTTCTACCCTCTGATTCACGACAAGCTGCTATTATCAGAAATATGACAAACTGGCCAGGATAAGTTTTTAAGTTTAAAAATACAGTAAGTAAGCAACACAAGTAGATGGTATAGATCCATTAAAAATACCTACTTGAGATAAGTTGAAGAAATGTTAGGCTGGTATGGATCAACATTATACTGCATTGGAAATCAATATTATAAAAGCTGTGATCTGCAACAAACGATTAAAAATCAAGCTATTGTCTAAATTTGTTCAGCCTCTATCAATGTTTATTTCTATTAAAGATTAGAAATCTTCAGTATAAATTTCTTTATTACAAGTGATTGTAGGCCCACACAAATTAAAATAAAACCTAAATGCTGCTGAATTCCTGAAGTAAGACGTGAATGAGCCATCATGCAGCAGCATTTACAGCATCTACTAACCATCAAATGAAAATAGGTTGGAAAACCGAGCAAGGCTGGGAAGCCAAGTACCAAACAAGAATGATTCAGCTCAAACTGCATTGTGCAACCCCATTTTTACAGAAACAGCAATTAAACCTGACAATAGTATTAAAACTCATTGAAGGTCATAAGAGCAACAAAAGAGACATTTCACCAAAGAACAAAAAAAATCCAGCTCAATAGAAAGACTACAGGATTGTTCACAGTTTGTGAAGCCACTGTTGTTAAAATAACTACTGAATATTGACAATGGTTTTATAATTGGTCATTTGATAAAGCAAAAACACTACTTACAGCAAATTAAAGTCCATTGCAATGTCCAGCTGAAAGGTCACATTTTCCCAAATTACTTACATTAGAATCAGCAATAAATCATTCTCTATATACATTTCATACATCCATCTGGTGTTTTACCTTTGGCAAGATTACTTACAGCTTAATTTCCATAACTATTTAAAATATATACTAATGCATAAAAATAAAGATTTTGGCATCATTTTTACCCAAAATGGAAGCTCCATCACAAGAACTGCAGCCAAGCCCTGCAATTCCACCACAGAAATACCAACATAATTGTAGGTATAAAGACTTTAAAAACAAGCAGCTGATCTCCTAACACTTGTACCATTAAATTAACCTGGTTTCCTTGCATTACAATTGGTGTGTGCCTCAGATCCAGATATTTTAGTCCATCTTGGTTTCAGGTTCAATGGTTTTCAGAGGCTGTTATGTAGCTCTTCATGCCCATGTCAACACTGAACTCTCAACTTTTCCTCCTCCAAATTATAACTCAAAGCTCAATCTCAAAGGTCTTCTGTAAATCACTAGAGAATGGATTAGTAGGAGAAGGTGTGGCCCGTTGCTTCGATTTGGATTCCAATGCATTCCACTGAGCCTCAAATGGATCGATTTCCTGTTCATCTGATGTTGTTTGAGTGTTCTTGGGTTCCATTGTCCAGTTACTGTTTTCTGCTCCATTAAAACCTGCAGAACCATTGATCTGCTGGGCAGCTTTAAAATAAGGGGTTGCATTTCCAGCAGTGCAAACATTGCCGCCTTCAAACTGATGGAATGCATTTTGCTTTAAAGGTACGTGGCTCTGTATTTGAGTGACCTGAGTATGGGCTGCAGTGCCAAAGACGTTAGCAACCATCTGTGAAGGGGTAATCCCAACCACAGGCACACTTGCTGCTTGGTAGGACATACCATTGGGCATCCCTATGTATGGTTGAGTGGGAATAAATGTAGGTTGCATATTAACTGGGGCAGCTTGAGCATTGACAAAAGCATTGGCCTGGAAGGGTTGTGAAGCCTGTGGCATGGAAGAGTGCGGCATTGGTTGTTGAGTCGACCTAATGCTCTTCGATATTTCATCAAGCCAGCGCTCAGCTTCTGATGGTGTTCGTTGGTGACTGGGCTGAAATGTGGGTGCTTGGGCAATGGCAGTCATCCCCCAGTCAGTGCCTGATAAAATGAAAAATAAAGTCACTAAAAAAAAACTGACAACCAATCTTGGGTCTTACACAATCTTTATACAAATTGAAAGGAGGGAAAAAAAAGTGCGTTAGTTGAGATTGACAAAATGTAAAATCTCCCAATAGCTCAGGTGGTAAAGTTGTAGGTTAGATTCCTGGTGCGCTGAGTTCGCTTATCTAAAGTCAGTAGTGGTGGGGATGCTAAAGTGGCCTTGGAAAATAAGGGAGAAGTCAGCCAGGGCTCCTGATGGACCAGACAACTGATGGAGTTACATATGTTTATCATTAGGCATATGACCAGAAAGAGAATTAAATAAACTGAAAACATTTAATTTTTGTTCATTTGTATTATCAGGTTTAAAATGTTATCTATTAAACTATAAATATATTTTATATAAGCAGCTACTGTCAATTAAATTCCTATTTTGCCGCAAATGAATTCCTAGTACTTTTTCAAAGTCGTCAACTGTGAGAAGAACATTGTCACCCAAGGCAAAGATAGAGTGGGTATTTTAATATATTATTGTACTGTAGTCCTCCCCAAAGGATTAAAATTCCAAAGGCCAGTGTGTAGACAGGAAAAAAAATTAACACCTTGCATATTTCAAATCTGCAGAAAATCTAAGTGCATTATACTCAAAAGAAAAGTGAAGGGGTTTGTAGATTTTTTTGGGTTGGGGGGGAAAATTTCAATTTACGGTGGAGCTTCACTACGGTGTAGGGGTTGGGATCAATTAAATCCCAACTTGCTTTATAGACTTTCCCATGCTAAAAGAAAAATGGCCAACTTTGGGTCACTGGGTGATCGTGGTGGTAACCTGATGACCCAAACGTTAGCCATATTAGCATGAAACTCAAGTTGACACACAGAAAGCAAGTGGCTGCTGTCACTTACATGAGGTCAACAGTGTAACTCTGTTAAAAATAAATGCATATAAAGAAGCTGTATGGAGTTGCATTTTGCATTTTTTTAACAAAGCGACCACAAGTTCACTTCTTTGTTTGACAAATATTTGGGTACAATTCGAATTAAGGTCTGAATCAGTAAATATTTGAAAATTAAGCCCATTCACTAAAAAAACATTTTCCACTCTGCACCATCTACATTTTCTTACTTGCAGTAGTTGCAGCTCCTGTATTAGTAGCTGAAGGGATCTGAGCCCAAGGGTTTGTATCACGCATTGGCATTACTGTTGGAGACATGGCAGTCACAGCTGGTATTGCAGTAGGCAGTGAGAAGGCTGAAGCTGCTCCATTGGCTACAAGAGTGGATGAAAACAATCAACAATAACATCTAACATGCAAGTTATTCAATAAACTTCAAGTACCATCAAATTGACCACATACCTTGAGGAACCGGCATTTGAGGAGCCACAGCCATGGAGGGTTTTGTCATTGGAGCAGAAGAGAATGGATCCTCTACATGTCCACTGAACGCATGGGTTATTTGAGAGCACAGTGAACTTATGCTGTCCACATCAGCTGCGGAATCGCCTTCAATTTCAGGCACTGAATCAAGGAAGAAAGTAATAGTGAACTAGTGGTAATAGGACTTTCATCAAGCATTGCACCTCCTAATTAACACAGCTTACCTTTGGCGCTTCAATGTCTAAAGTAGCGACAGTAGTAATGTTATTGATCACAGTAGGCTTGCAATGATGATAGTGGCTGAGATAAATGCATGTCTTAAAGGAAATAAATACCAATAGGGTTTGTAGTATTGAAGCACAGTCTTTTCACTTCTGAGACGAGGGAACAAATCCAGTCCAAGCAGATGGATTTAAAGTAACCCTTTTTACATGGCTGATAAAATATTCAAGATCAAAAAACTCAGCCTCTCATTCTAGTTTTACACTACAAAGGAGTTCCCAGCACTGTAGGATCTTTTAATCCAGAACTAGCTGGGAGCAATTTGGAAATCTCATTTAGGGTTTTCTTTAAAATAGGTCAGTTTGTAAAATGAAACTTGAATAGAAAAGAGAATCATTTAAGCACAGCTCTACACAAGAAATGCACTCTTTCCCAGTGAAAGCATGGTCTAAAATAATTGCTACAAACGCCCAAAATCTGTTGCTATAGTTTTTGATCTGTACGACAGGTTATACTCAATCACTGGGAGAGTTAATACAATGAATAATCTTCCCTCCTCCCCATCAGCAGCACACTATTTAGGCCAGTTCATTTTCACCCATTTGAAATTTAGGGCTTCATAATTTACGAACGCAAGTCACAAAACACACAGAAGTGAATGAGTACAACCAGGTATTAGCTTTCTCTCTAATATTGTTCAATAATCCATATTTGAAACAGATTGAAGAAAGGAATATGGGAAATATGATTTTTTTTTAAAAAATCATTGTTAATCTGAAGTAGTGTCTAATTTTGGGATTCTTTAGAAAAACATCAAGATGTAAGACAACACATATACAATACACTAGGGTGTTATCTGGGATGAGAAATCTTAGTTATGATTGACGAGAGACATCAGACTGGTTTCATTTGAATAAAGATTGAGACATGAGGTTCAAAATTATGAAGGGTTTTTGAAAAGCTTAGTAAGATTTTCACCGATAACTAGAGCATGCATTTAAGACCATTACCAAAAATATTGAGGGAAAAAATAAAATTATTAAGAAAACAATGTTAGGACATCATGCCACCCAAAACTCAAAGGAAATTTAATATTAAATAATATTTTTTAAAGAGACCTAAGACAAATATTGGAGAGAGAGACACATACATTAAAGGGTACGGGGAAAAGGCAAAAATCACAATATGGTAACTTTTAAAAAGGTGAGCTGAACGAATGGCCTTCTGTGACGTCACTTCACTGATAATACAAAGACAGAACAGATTCTTTGGCTGAATCAGCCACCTCCAATTTCTTTGTTCATATCTTCCGATTAATACTATTAAAGCAGAAGTTAACCAGAACACCGTACCTGTGTTTTTAATCTGAAATTCCGTCTTCCTTTGCATTGTTGAAGGTAACTCATGTATTCGAAGTGACATTTGCCTCTTGAACGGTGAGGTGGCCTGACTAAGCACAGGGAACCCTCGGAACGATCCTTGCCTGGCGAGTTGCTCCACGGGTGCATGCCTTCGTGGTATCGCGTGCACATTGCCAGAATCCTTGCTGTCTCCCGTCGCGGATGGGGTAGACGGCGAAGCCGAGGGAAGTGTAGGTGATGCGGCTGAGGTGGCCACGGCAACAGCTCTTTCTGCTTCAGCTGCAAATTAAACATCACATTGTTTACATTATAATCCTTGCATTTAATATAGCGCTTTTTCATGTCTTCTCGACATCTCAAAGCGCTTCACAGAATAGACCATAAAGTGAATTGACCGTATATTTGTGGGCGAAACGCGGCAGCCAATTGCGCACAGCAGTGTCCCACAAACAGTCGTGGATTGAAAGTGACCAATTTATTATTGTTTTGTTTTTGGAGGGATTATTATTAGGCGTGTAGAGTAAGGAAACGTGCCCAAGGTTTCGCCCTGCCTGGAATTGAACTCAGGTCTCTGGCTTGCAAGGCGAGTGCTCCAGCCACTGAGCTACAGGACTCCTCGGTTACACAATATTAGCAAAAATAATTAACTCAAGCAGTTGGATGTGCTAGTAACTATTCTTTCCAGAAGTAGACTTGAGGCTTGAACTCGCAATCTTCTGACTCGGAGGCAAGAATGCTGCCAACCAAGCAAAGCTGACACCTCAATGCTCTTTGAAGTGCTCCAATACCAAAATGGGGCGAACGGAAAGGAGAACTAACTGGAGATGGATAAAAAAAACTGAAGGAAAAGGAGCGATAAAGAAAGTTAACTCTCAATGGCAGAACAAGCCACAGTGGCAACAAGATGGGCAAAGTGAAGGACAGCAGATTCAGAATTGTTTCAAACAACTTAAATCCCATTCTGAGTGATAAATATCACATCCATCCTTTGGAGAGTATTTTGGTAACATGGTACCACAAAACAATGAGGTGCTTTGGTGCTTAAGAATGCAACAAGGCTCAGCAGTTTTCCCATTTTCACCCCGTACCTCTTTTGGTATCTTGCATTTGTTTCATGAGTGCCTCTCGCTCGGCCTGTTCAGTGGCTGTGGTTACTCTAAAGGAACCTTCCCTGGTGAACGTGGTGCGGTTGGCGTCAAACGTAGCTGTGACACCGCACTCTTTCTCTCGCTTTTGCTTCCGCTCCAAACATGCTGCAAATGCACACCCCACCGCATGGCTTAACCTCTCACCCTGAGGAACCATCACATTGTTAATGGGTATAAGACGCATACTTTCAGTAATAATAACCTTGCAATACTTCATAGAATACCAAAATAACTATTTGCCTTTCCTCTTGTGTAATGGCCCACCTGCACAGAGCATATCCATCAGTGTCTGCAGTGACATGCATTCCTGGCAGCAAAAGCTCAATTACCCTCACAAATTCTACCACCCTTCTGGCAACCTGTTCCACTCGTTGATTACCCTCTGGATAAAGAAAAGCTTCCTGGTATTTGTCCTGAAATTGCCCTGATCTGGGATTACCTTTTCAATCCCATTAAAATTTTGTACACCTCAGTTCTCTCAGGACTGAGGAGCCCCAGCTTTTCTAATTGTTGCTCATAGCTCATTACTGTAACCCTGCAGATCATCATCATCATTGCTCTCTCTGTACTGCCTCTAGGGTCCGCAAAGCACTGTACAGCCAAAGTATGACATCTGGGGAATCCAAACTCAATTGATTCAGCAATAAAGCTCAACATCTGTTTGCCTTATTTATTGCTGCCTCACACTGCTTTAACATAGTGAATGGTGAGTCAATTAACATCCCAAGGTCTGTTTCAGCTCTCCCCTTGGCAGGTTCTATCCCATTCAAGGAATACTTGTTTTTTTCTATTCTTGGATCCTACATGTAGTTTCCTTGCATCTATCTGTTTTAAATGTAATTTGCCAGTTATCAGTCCATGTGTACAACCTTTGCTGCCTATTCCAATTTCATAGCTCCCCCCAATTTGGCATCATTGATAAATTTAACAATCTTACATTGGCTCTGAAACTCCAGGTCATTAACGATAATCCTTGCATTTGATATAGCGCCTTATCATGTTTTCAAGACGTCTCAAAGCACTTCACAAAATATATATGCAAGGAACACAAGGGGTCCCAGTACAGAAACCTGAGGCACCGATCTTAACACCTGTTAGTTTGATGTACAGTTATAGCCAATTTTGTTCTGCAGTTTATCCAATGTTTCCCTCCTTACTCCAAAGATTTAAACCCCACTCCAACATAACCTAGTTAAAACTATAAAGATGATGAAACTTACCGAATCTCTTATTGCCAAGAAACAATGACAGATCCAGCGCCTGGTAGTACCGTCTCGGCAAATATACGAGAAGGCCTTGTCAAAGTTTCGGTCAGGAGCACAGAAAGACACCTTCTCTATTGTCTGATCAACAATAAGATCCTTTAAAAATGATTTAAAAGAAAAAAGCAGTAAGAAAATAAGGAACATGGAATTCTTAAATTCTTTCACCAAATCCTCACTGCTTTCCTCAACCAAGATTTGATTACTTCTGAAAATGATTTGCTATGAGAACACTGGCATGAGTCAGACACCAGGTGGCATTCTTGTACTGTATTGGATAATTGTGCTGAAACATTTGCAAACTGGTGGATTTGTCGAGTTTCTCCTGAAACAATACATTTATTTTTACACGATGCTGCGCATGCATCTTCATTATACACCTTCCTGCAAAGCAGAAAGATTTACAGTCGGTGTGTATTTTTTCAACATATTGCAAGACTTCCTACTTGTTGGTTGATTTTCTTAACAGATTCAGAGGATTATCTATTAAAATTGAAGCAAATTTGAAAGAAACCTATGCTCTGCATGTATTTAGGGAGTTTGCAAATTAAACAAGAAATAAAGCTTGAAGTACCATTAAAAACTTTCAAAATTACAAATGATAAAAACTGTTGATGATAAAGGATTTTCAGCTTGATCTCCATTATTTACTAAATATATTAGTGACGGGAGGGTGGGTAAGGACATCTTTTTGACACTATAATTAATTCACACCAGTGTTCGGTTCTCACCAGTGTACATAATGCTGGATTGTACAAGCAAATTTTGGTGTGGTTAACTAACATGCAGTCCGATTAGTCTGCTTTAGATTGCTAAAAAAAATGTTTGTACATACAATATCTGTGAATATCCTCCCTTTCGACACTGTTGACAAACAGCACTGAAACAAATTGATAACGCATGTGCTACAGTATGGGCGCACACACAATTGTTCTTAAAACTATTTCCCAAATATGACAAGAGGAGACAGATTGCTGAGCAGTACTGTACGAGCTGTTTCAATGTACTGTACGAGCTGTTTCAATTGCAGCCCGAGGAGCCATCCTTTTATCTACTCAGTTAAATAACTGGGGCAATTCAGCTAACGGAAATGAGATACTGAAATGGTCAGAGGCAAAACTACTTTAGGGCTACGGTGTAAATAAAAACTGAAGTGAAGCTAATAAATATTTCAAGATACAATACAGCCTCACAATAAACATGCTCGACTGCAGCACAAATTTGCTTATAATGCTGCTTTACTGAACCTCATTTGTTGTGCATGTGCACAGCTTATCCATTTATTTCTGCACACCAGGCAGGTACTGTGGTAAAATGGTGGACTTCCTGTTCATTAGGTTGTCACCTGTCACTTCCTGCACATGCACAAGGGACCCAGAAGTTAGCCATTTTAGCTTCCTGCACTTAAAAACGGTCAACTTCCGGTTTATCAGGAGGCTGCCTGATAAAGCAGGAAGTGATGTTGCGCTGACCCACCAAACCAGAAGGTGGACATTTTTTCTTTTAGAGCAAGAAACCCAGTATACTCCCCTTAGGCCAGCCGGTCACGCACATGCAGTCGAAAATCCCTAGCATGCCTTGCTATAATGTGGGTGGGATTTTATATATTCCAAACACAATACCTTCACCTGTTTTCTCAGCTATCTCAGCAAAAAACTATTTGTCAGGCAAGACTTGCCTTCAATAAAGACATGCGAACTGTCTTTAATCAACTCACGTCTTTCTAAGTGATTATTAATATTTTCCCGTCTTATACCCTCCAAACGTTTGCACACTATGGACGTTAGACTGACAGGTCTATAATTACTCGGCTAGTCCCTTTTTAAACAGTGGTGTTACATTAGCTACCTTCCAGTCTCCTGGCACAATGTTCGACTCCAAGGATGTTCGAAAAATTGTAGTAAAAGCATCTACTATTTCCTCTCCAACTTCCTCGGATGCATGCCATCAATCCTGGTGAACTGCCCTCTTCGAGTTCCATCAAATTCTGTAGCACCACTTTTTCTATAGTTATCCCTTCTAATTGCTGCACATCCTCCTTTTGTACATTTAATGTCTCAGTACTCCTGGGTAAAAACTGAGGTGAAATACTCATTAAGATACTCATTAAGTATCACTGCCATCCCTTCATTCTCTATGAGTAGATTTCCCTTGTTTATAATTGGCCCTATCTTTTCTTTAATTATTCTTTGTTTTTGTGTTTATAAAACCCTTTAGTATTTCTCTTTGATTTCTGCCAGTCTTTCCTCATATCCCCTCTTGGAATCTTCTTTTTTGCTTCCTTTCTATTCAGCATTTTCTATATTCTTGTCTAATTTAGACTCAAACACCATTATTCCAGCCACATTTAACTGCCAAATCTTTCTATTACTATGATGACTTGCAGGTGGGACGGGGAGTCATCCTGAGATGACAATCCTCAAGCTCCTTCGCCTCAACATTTATAGCTAGTTAAGTCTTGGCTCTCAGCAACTTTTGCCTAATAAGCAGCATCCTTCCTGGAAAAGGCATTACATTCCAGAAAAGAAAATTCCATGCGTAGGTGGTGTGCTTTATGTGGAATTCTGTCTGGTTTGGACTCCCTTCAGCATATTGATGGGTTTCCACACATTAGACACCTGGCTCACAACATTGGAGGGAAAAAGACAGCAGTAGCTCTCTGCAAGTCAAAAGTTAAAACACTTCATAAAACGTCACTCACAAAGCATCAGACACTGCGGACTCAAAAATGTCACCAGCCATGTGGCAAGAAATTTTCCCCAGTCAGTTATCCTTCATTAAATAAGCCAAGAATAAACCCAGAAAGACAGGTTCACGTTTTTAATCCAGCTGAGAGCCCAATTCTTTAGCCTTGCAGCTATTGTAACCCACGCACTTTTACACCTGCAGATAAACCAGTCAACAAGTTACCACAGCTTTACAGATGTGTTAAAGATCAGACTCTACATTATTAATCAGAGCATCAAAGGTGGTAACTGCTAACTGCATAGAGTACATCAATACATGATATTTAAAGAGTTTTAAGATTCTCGTGAAGTACTGGAATGTAGACCAGTAAGTTGCAGGTTTGAATCCCAGTCCATGTCAAGTGAATTACACTTAGTATAAGAACCCTTAGATAGGAAAATCAACAAGAGTTCCTGCTCAAAGTACCAGAGGATGGATACCAGCATTCATGGAACTGTATTCCAATAAAAGAAAACAGAGTCAAACTAAGAAATGGGGGAGAGGGGAAATAGGTTGAATCTTTTTTTATTTGGTTCAACCTTGCTCTCTACAATGAAAGATTCAATGACATCATGCAATGTCAAGCGTCCACTTTGTAATATTCACATACAGGTCATTTATCAGATCCCTTTAGAAAACAGAAACAAAATGAGTTTTTTTTAAATAACTTATTTTTATTATAGTTCTATTTCAGTAATTATTTGAAACACTACCAGCAAGTGATTTGGCTGCCACAAGAGGATGAGATTTATTCCTGCACACCGCCAAAGGCAATCCATCACATTATTTCCTGCTGTAAGATCACATATCCTCCTTTTAGCTTTAAGCTATTTATAAGAAATGAACAGAGGGAAGACTGAGAGGAGATAATTTGTTGGGTAATTAAATTGATGGTTATCCTAGTTAGACTTCCTCCAGTCCATCTAACAAACATTTATGTAAGCTATTTTAATTGAAGTAGAATCATTTCTTTAAGGATAATACTTGCATTTTGAACAAGGGCCTTATTTTGTCACGTTACTGTAAAGTGGTGTGAACATGTGTTTTGGGTGAACGCGGAGCTTATTTGCCCCACAAACAGCCATGAAGTGAATGACCAATATTATTTGATCGATTGTTGAGACACTCTCTTTTCAAATGGTGCAATGAGATCTTTAACGTCCACCTGTACAGGCAGACAGGGCCTCAGTTTAACAACCCACTGGAAGAACAGTTACTCAAACAATACAGCGCTCCCCCAGCGCTATATTGGAATGTCAGTTTCAAGTCCCACAATTTTCTGATTGGAGGAGAGAGTGCTGCTGAGCCAGACTGACTATGCATTACAAACATAGAAAGAACTATAGTTGATGCGTATTTGCAAAGAAAAAGTTTACAGGTGTCTGTAAACTACCTGGTCAACTATGGTAATATGCCCATTAAAACTGAAGGGGAACTGAAGTCCAGAGAATTCCTGTTAGAAATAAAGGTAAGAATCCATGCTTGCCTGGCTACTCACATCTTCCTGCACAAGGCTTCTTCAATGACAATACATTTAAGAATTGTAATGTCTTAGTGAGAGTTAGATACATGATGAACTTGCAGAACTAACTGAAGTAGTTAACAAAGATCCACTCCATCCTTTCCTTGAGGAGCTTGTGAATATAGTCAGTTTTTTTTATTTCAACAAAGTGCTGTATCAGCTGGATGTCAATAGTAACATTTGGGTAATTGGTTGCTTCTCTGTGAACCAAAAGCGAAAACTGTTGTGAACTCAAGTAATTTACTCAGAACACATTCCAGCAAACGTCTGTATTAAACTAGTTTAGAGTGGAGGTATAAAATGTAGCTTTGTAAATTGGTTCATCTAAGACTTTATAAACAGACTATAAAAAGATCGAAACAGATTGGAAACCTTCTGAACTTTTGGACCCCTCCCCCAATCATTTTTGAATTGTGAGAAATTATTCTTCAATCTGCTACAAACCATCATTGAATGACCAATTGAGGTTATAGTTGGTACCCAGTAGAAAGAATTGGACTACTAATAACAACAACAACTTGCATTTGTATAGCACCTTTCACGTCGGGATGACCATCCCTCATCCACCATTTACAGATCAGAAGTCACTGCATTTTGTGGCAGATTGACCATGTCCTTGGATTGTCTACACAAAAGTAAATCTACGACAAAGCACACGCTTTGAAAATTTGACACAAGCCCTAAAAAAAGTTCTTCCCATCAGTTACAGATCACACACGTTTGAAGAAATATTGTTCTATTAATTTTGTCTCACAATATATTTTAAAGAATTTTCCCTCAAGAGAGTCATATTCTAGTATTCTTAATTTCAAGGAAAAATATTTGGAGTTCATGCATCAACCTGTGACACACACTTCCATTCAAATTCAAGTAACCTTCCAGTATCCATAAGATAGTTTGAATAACTTAGACATAATAAAATGTAGTTCTCATATAGATTTACACCAAGTAAATCTACATACTGATGATTAAGAAAACTAACCTTTCAATTCACCCAACCCCCACTTTTGTAATACAAATTGCACAGTAAACTGACCTTTGTTTTCTCATCCACCACTCGTAGCCCATCTGCCGATACCCACAGGACAGCCTTAACTGCTTTCTTTCCGCTCTTTAATGGTAGAAAAACACAAGAGTTTAGTTGACATGTTTACTGAAATCAGCAGGTGAGCTGCAAAGACAAAGCAAGAATAGCAGCATAGTATAGGTTAGATTCCATTGCCAGACACAGCCCAACATACAAACAGTATAGCGCAGTTGAACACCAAAACTTCAGGAGCCCGAAGTGAGAAGAAAAGAAAAACCACACTATTAAAACGCACACCGTGCTGAACTCTCTTCCTATTGTTAAACCAGCATAAATAAATATGCTGGGTGCTTGGTACAATGATTCTTAAGGAGTTACACCACTAGTATGGCAAGCAGTTTTTCTGCTACTCAGGAAACACCAGCAAACAGGATTTCAATTCCACCAAGTTTCTTTCAAGTTTCAGTACAATATGTAATGTTTGGCTTCATTATATTCGATTTCATAAATGAATTACTCACCATCACGTCTCTGAATGAAGTCCTATACAAACACTTGCGCATCCGTGGTCTTCCCTGCATGCAATGGGTTGGGAAATTCAATTCTGATCATTTCTCCTCATGCAAACTGCCCAACGTTGCGCTTTGCAACCTCCCTTCTTTCCCTCTCACACCTGCCCATATTTTTTTTGTGTTGATTAGTTTCTCCTATTGCTCAGCAAATGCTCAGATGGCTAGAAAGAGAATACATCTGTACGTGCAAGTGACCTACTGTCAAGAGACTGGCGATTATTACAGCGAGTAATATTTTCTCCTTGAAATTTGGTGACTATCAAAGGGCGGGGGACGGGGGACGGGCGGTGGTTGGAGAAAATAAGCTGCCAATGCTGTAAGCTAGTTAAAGCGGACAGGGCAAGACATGCAAACTATTTAGTACTCATACTTGTTAGACATGAGGCTTTGTTAAAGGTAGCCAGCAAATCAATTCTGCTTCAAAATTATATGGATCAGACAAGATATGAATCTTCAGTATTCAGGAGAACAAAGCTAAAGCCATCATAGGAAATGTATCATTGCCAAGTGCAAAATTTACTCTATTGAACAGTGGTAAGATAGAACAGTTTCATGGAAAATAGTTAGAACATTGAACACTTGGCCACAAGTAGCTTTTGAAGCTCAGATCATAGCATTTAAAAGTGAAATGCATAAATATTTGAAAGAAATCCAAAAAGTTATGGGGAGAGAATTGAGATTAATTAGCTGCATTGGAGATGGTCATACGGCATTCTGTGCCTTCATTTCTAGGATTCTATGAACACATTTTGTTCTATACAGTCCAAAAAAGTTAAAATTCAACCCCTGGCATATTGGTTGATCTGAACCACTAAAGTGATTGAGGGCACTACCAGTGCTTAATCACTGGGATCTGGATGAAGGGTTGCGGGAAATGAAAGAATAGATTTGGCTTTGCCCTTACTTTCCTCAAGTGAAATATCTCAAGATATTCAAATTATGTTCACTTTTATTTAAACAAAGCTGGATTTTAACCTTCTGTTGAATGCAGAATATATGAAGATACTTCAGAAAAAGAATGCGACAGTGGATTAACATAGATGGCAGCACCAAAGGCCAAACATTCAATAATTTTTAAAGTCATGATTCAGATTACGTGGAAAAATAGTGCATCGAAACACAATTATGATCATTACCGATCAGAGAGGCCTAATTCCGTAACCTTTAGTTACAATAGCCTGTCTATCAAATTAAATAAGGCACCCAACTACTTTGCTGAATTCTCCCTGGAATGCATTCATGAGGCTGAATAATCGAACTCTGCAAATGGATCATCTCAATGACACTTTCCTTAAGTCACCATCTCCAATGCAGTTTTGCAGATAAGCCTGGGAAATGGGAAAGCACTCAAGGACGAAAAGTTGACTTAGTCAAGAAAAAGAAACTACAGAGATCGATCTGGACAGATCTAGGAATGCAAATTATGGAGTCTTCTCTAGTGACTTGAACAAGACTACAATCTGAAATGTTTCCATCAACCAGCATCTGAAGGAAGGAAGAGCCTCTGTCCGGACTTTACTTTTAAAGAAAGTTGTCTCTCTTTCCCATCAACTAACAATCTTCTCTTCCTGGATTAAGTTGAGTTTTGAAAGCTGACACCAGACCGTAAACTATTCCAAATAGCAGCCAGGGAAAAAATACAAATTTCACATAGAATTTATTCTTCAGGCTTCATACTCCATTTTCTTTACCCTACTCCAATATTAATGCATGCACACTTCAAACCGAGCAGAGTGGACAAATACAATACAAATTCAGATTCACTTCAAAAAGAGCAATGTGGTATAACGGTAGCAAACAACTTGAGACCAGCAAAAAAACTGCTAACCATTCAGATTGGTGTTAGTTTACACTGACCAATTATGTGATTTTAGCCACAGTGTATTTCTGACAGTAAATTTAAAGTAGATAATGGTGTAACCCCTTAAAGGTATCAACAGAAGTCTTGGTATTAAAACTTACTTTTCCAAACAGGGCTTTGAAGAACTTCCTTTCCTGGATGACAGGGGGAACAAGTCAGGAGACTATTACTGAAGGATGCTACAAGTATTAAATAAGTTTCAGACCAAAGCAAATGGGTTCAGACCGTCAAGAAAGATTCTCCAAAAAGAATGGAGACAGGCAATATATGACCACCCACAATAATGCAATGCTAATGCATGGATTTACAGAAGCTACAGCCACTGGCACAGTTGAAGAATTGAAGAATGGACAGAGTGTCCAGGCCTGCTACATGCAGAGGTGCTAGTTACATTTCCAGTTTAGTTCTGAAGACTTCTTCAGTTAAAGTTGGCAGCAGCAGTTTCAGCAATATTGTGATACTTTGGATCAGAGACACAAAGACCATTTGGCACGTTTTCTCTATTTTGCTGCACTTTATTGGGGAGATTAACACAATTGGAGTTAAACAAAATGTCTGTCTTCAACGAAGTGTACAAGTTTTTCAGCATTATTGTTGTAAATAGATCCACACTAAATTAACAAGGTCATCTCAAAACAGGATATGAAAGACCCTGTCAGTGCTTAAGATTGTACATCAGTTCCCATCATATCATGAAGTCAACGCAATGATGATTATGCGTAGTTACAAACAGTTACGCGTGTAAAACAAAACCGGATGCTGCTGCCAAGTCTTATGGTCCCAGATCAGTTATTAGACTACAATGTAAGTAAATCATTTTCACTAAAGAAACTACACAAAATGAAATTCCAAACTACCTCATGCCTAAGTAATAGTGTTAATTGTTAATTTAGTTTATTATGTGGCGGGAACGTGATCTAGTGACATTAGTAGAAGTATCAAGCATGCAAGACTACAACACGCTATGATTAGAAAAAGTATTATTGAAAAGGAAACAATTTAATGTTTCTTATACCTGCTGAAACAAAAACAAACATTAAATTACATCAAAACTTGAAATAAAGTATCATCATAACAACGCCCCCCCCCAACCCACTCGCACATACAATTCTCTTGTTCTGGAGGAAATTGGGAAGTTTCGAAAATAGTGTGAATATGCTGGTAGACCTGGGAAAATGTAGCAACTTCTCACAACTTCTGATTAGGCCATATCAGAAGGGACCAAATACTGTTCATAAATGGGGAAGGCAAGATTAAACGTAATAGTGAGAGAAAAACTCCAGTCACACTGCCATATTGAGGGCACCATGAGGAGAGGCCTTGGAGCTAAGATGCCCACCCACCTTCTTTTGGGAATACTATGCATTTCTTCCAATACAAGTTCACCGATCAAAACAAACATTAAGACATGAAGTCAGTGTCAATTTTTTTTCCATTTAAAATTCTGTGCAGTTTCAAGAAAGTTGACAATTTTACATTTGATATTCTGAGGTTGAAATGCTTCAACCACAAAAAAAATCAATATATTGATTCAAAAACATATCCAATTTTAAAATTGGGACTACAAAGTTATAAAATCAATGTTGTCATTCACCTTTTAAAGCATTCAGAGGCATTATTATTGAATACTCTGACATAATCTTTGAGATGTTTTGAAGACATGATAAGGCGCTATATCAAATCTAAGGATTTTATATATTTTATAATAAAATAGAAACATGACTAAATGCATTAAATTTTCATCAACTGAGCAAACACAACAATGATGCCAGTCTACATATGAATATGCACGAAGAAATTAACAGATCAAAATGGGTTCACTTTAATGGTTACAGTAATCTTTCACAATCACATCAATGGCATTAATCCAATGCTAGTGATGGCCACAAACACAACCAATGCATTTAAATTACATCACTCTAAAGATCTTGCTATTCCTTTTAATAACTAGGAATATTGCTTTGTAAGATTTCAGAAACCAGAGCATACCATACTTATGGTATTCCATGGGTTCACAATGCAACCAGGCTATAAATGAACCAAAGATATACCAAAGCACATAACAATTGTGCAGATCATAAAATTAGTTTGGATGAAGAAGGCCCTTTGACCCATCCAATCTGATCCCTCCAGAACATTCACTCTACCATCCTCCCATCACAGCATCAATCTGCTTTTAATTGCATCCAGTAGCCTGCCTCTACTTACTTTCCTAGGAAAAGGAGTCAAGCAAAGTAAACAGATTCGAGTAAAATATCAGAATTTAAACCTTTTCAATAAATGATGACCAGGCAGAACAGTATGGAAACAGAAAATGTGAAACTGAGTTTGGATTGGTTCAAGTCAGTGAGGGCACTGCAGAGTTGACAGATGTTCCAGCAAACTAACCATAAAAATAAACCAGCATGGTGTGGTTTTAATATTAGGAAATGAAAACTCAAGGCCACCTTTGCTCCATGGATTTGACATGAGCACTATTTGTAAAGGTAAAGCAAGTCTCTCCCATTGTCCTGGCCAATAAGGCAAAAGGCGTAAACTATCCAATCTATCTTGATAGCAGTAACCTGTAATTCCGGTATCATCGTGGTAAACCCATGCTGTATTCTAATGCTATATCCTTCTTGTAGTTTGGTAACCAGGATTCTGGAATAATTTAAAATCTAAACAAAGTAATGTTTTAAAACCAAACGTCTCTCTAATCCACTCTCCATTGGTCAGTGAAATGTTCCCCACAACCAGCCTCGCAGCAGCTCCATGATCTAATCTGAAGCATATTGTGAAAGCTGACTATTTCTAAAATAAGTCCAAAATACATCTGACACCATTGCACATCATTAAAAAGTATCCCGACCCAAATTCTTCAAGAGATTAACTGAAAATGTTCCAAAGTGCAAAAACCTGAAAGCATGACCTACACAACCCATTTGTATTGTTTTTTCATTCCTACAACTGTTTAATTATGACAGCTATGTACAACCAATTCTGCAAGTGCATCACTTCAAAATAAAATACTCGCTGTGAGGACCAATTCAATTAGAACAGCCATTTTTGTGACCTTGGATAACAGCCAAGTACAACTGTTTACAAACAATAATCCTTGCATTTGCTATCAGCGCCTTTCACATTTGGGGGACGACAGAGTGCTTCACGTGATTTACTGTAAAGTAAATCCTCTACAAAGTGTGAAGCATTTGTGATTGGTTATTTTGTAATCAAACACGGCAGCTGATTTGCACACAACAATGTCTCACAAATGACCAGTTTTATCTGAGAGATTGTTGGCCAGTACACCAGGAGAAATTCCCTTCACTTTTCAAATAATATCATGGGATCTTTCACGTCCACTTAAACAGCCAGATGGGCCTTTGGTTTAACATCTCATCCAAAGACAGGTACCTTCAAAAATGCAGTACTACCCCAGCAATGTTTTCAAGTGTCAGCCTAAACTGAGTTCGAAAGTCTTCACGTGCGGTTTGAACTCACAACCGTCTGCTTCAGACGCAACAGCTTGCTTCTTTGCAGAACAAAAACAGATTTCCTTTGCAATTAATGAGTTCTAGTCACATGAAAGAGCAAAACAGCTGCTTTGGGAGTATTGAAAGCCGTGATTGTACAAACATCGCAAACTGATTCATCTTTGCCGTCACCAAAACATGGTTTTAAATCTTGTTACAAGGACAAAATAGCATCATTTCATATGCAATTGCATATAATTATTTTATACAAGGCATTACTACATCGAAGCGTTTCAAGGCGTGCAACAGTTTGCTTTGAAATGCACTCTCACAGGGAAAAACAGCAGCCAATCTGTGCCAGCAATGTCCCTCAAACAAGAGCAGTTGGAATTTTTCTGGTCAAATTTGGATGAGAAAATATTTGCCAGAGCCAGGAGCAGTACTAGATTCATAAACAGTGATTCACTATATGGAAGTTTTGCGTGAAATCTACGTTTAAAGAGACAAATAGGCGCAAGCCTTAGGAGTTACACAAAAATATAGGGTAAGAGTTGTGCCGGTCCTGCAAATAAAAGTAAGTTGTTGAATTAAAGGTAATCCGGCATTTTGGTAATATGGCCATGTTAAACGTTTAGCAATAAGATCCTGCGTTTGGAATACAATCAAACGGACACACAATAGGTTGTTACATCAAATAGACATGCTGCCATCACTGAAATGAAATCTGTAAATGTAACTGCGCAAAGAAAAATCACCCCAACGCTTAAAGTATCCTTTTAATCATCTGTGCAACACTCATATAATTTGCAGTCCAAAGGGTTGCTGACAATACTTACACATCAAATGGGAGTTTATATCAGTCTGCAGGAAAGATGACTGAAGCATTTCCATCTCACCTTAATAAATGCATAAATATTCAGGGCATGTTACACCACTTGAGGCTAATACCCAACTGAATTCATCCACTCTTAATTTCCTATCTCCATGTAGCTCCACATTTTGTTTTCTCGAGTCAACAAGCCACACAGTCAGATTTTTCTGCATATGTGGACCTTTAATGACGAGAGCATCGGAATTAGCTGTGATACAAAACTCAAGTAGCTTGCCAACAACCAGGATCAATGCTCACACATTAAAAACAGCCACTTGACACGTTTCAGCAGAACTGCCAAAACATCCTGGAAAGGAAGAAGAGGGAAAGAAAGCTGTATGAAAGAGGGTGAGGGCAAGTGGGAGCCAACCGGGCAATTAAATTGAAAGAGAAAAAAAGCGAGAAGAAAGAGCACAGAAATATAAAGTGAGAAGAAATGGGAAAAAGGAAATCACTGATATTAAAGGCTGTAAGAAAACCATGATTTTTTTGGTCCAAAAGGTTGTGGCCAAAATGTGTTAAACTTGCGGTTAGTTCAAGTTCCTACTGATTTTTTTTCTTTAAACCGCGACTTTCCTGCAGCCTTATTGATATTCATATTCAGACAAATTGTTTTTAATTACACCTGTTAACTCTTATTGGTTTTGGAATCTGAGTCAAGATAAGACCATAATGAGTCTGACAAAAGCATAATCACCAATATAAAAAAAAACAATGGCAATAGCTAGAGTCAAGTCACTCAAAACACCCGCATGATCAAAAAAACAGAAAGCTAATGTTTAACAGAGCATTCTTCTTCGGCATTAGT